GATTATGTAAGTAGTGATGAGTTGGCTCCCTTGATTGGTTGTTATTCTGTATAGAAATTCTAATATGTTATGCTGAAAATTGATAATATCATGCTTGGAACACTTAGTGTGTGCTTCTCCTTAAATTGCAGTTTTTGCTGATTATAGGCATATCTATTTGATTGTTCAACCTGGATCTGCCATTACCATCAATTTATGAGAGCTGTCTATTTATACTACCATTGAGGCTTGTTGTAACCAGAGACAAAGTCATTTTGGATGTCATATAAGACAGAAAATTGTATGGTTTAGAGACCTTTCAAGTAGTAAGTGTGGGAAACATTCAATTTGTTTTGGTTTGAATTCCCATGAAGAGATTTCACAGGATTCATGCTTGGCTTTAAAATCATGTTTGAGTTTTGCATTGGAAGATAGAAGAATCTGATAAGGAAAAAAGAGAGGAAGTTTTGTTATCCTTTTCTTCTTGTTTAACTCTTTGGAATCAGATGATGTTTAGATGGGACTGTAATAACTCCTAGATAAGACCTAGGCTATAATTATTATGTAAAATGTTGGCTGTTGTATTAGAGGGGATAAGAATAAGGAGCAATTTTCTTCTGCCCTATTGTCTCTTGTTATGTTGTATTATGCATCTCTCTTTCAGTTACACCTAAGCAATTTGCCGTTCATGCTGATTTTTTTTTTTAAATTGCCATCTGTCATTGAATAGTCATTTAGCACTTGTTTTTCAACAGTTCAAATATAATTTTTTACACATTTTGTAGCCTTTCCCCTCCCCCCTTCTTTTGGGTGTGGAGGAGTTCCTGATTTCTGTACTTGCTTCTTCCACAGGCCGTTGAATGGGGAAGAATGAGCATGTGTGATGCTGAAAGAAGGCTCCTTGCCATTGCCTTGCTCGACGTATCCAATGAATGGTTTATCCTCCTCTCAGAATCTTGCATATCATTATTCAATTTCAGTGTCATCTACCAGTACACAATGAAATCCGAACATAGCTTCCTGGGTGCATTTGATGACCCGGGGCCATTCGGTTGAGGACGTTACAATTCTAATATCAGCAAGTGGCGTAAGGGGTCTCAGTGGTTTGAAGTTAACCGAAAGCATGCAATCAACATAGTGGAAGATGTTACATTTTATCCAAAGACGGCCAGCATGTTACGTTGACGAGCATTTCTTCGTCACGATGTTAACAATTCAGACACCAAATCTCATGGCAAATAGAAGCATCACATGGGTTGATTGGTCAAGGGGTGGACCTCATCCTGCTACATTTGGTGGGTCAGACATTACAGGAGTTTTTCAAGAGAATCAACGAAGGTCCCCAATGTAGGTATAACGACCAGCCGAGTTCGACCTGTTTTCTTTTCGCCAGAAAATTCGCACCAAGCGCCATGGAACCTGTTTTCATTTCGCCAGAATATTCGCACTGTAGCTCAGTGGTGCCTCCATCGAAATGACGAAGAATAAAGTTCTAATCCCATTGAAATCGCCAAGAGAAACATTAACAACACACGACCACGTTTCAGACGTCAACCACCCCTTGTCACCGTCAAAAAATATTAAAAAAAATAACCGCGGGTAATGAAAAATTTACACTCGTATAATCAAATGAGTAAAGGAGGGTAGGCGCCAAGGGTCCCAGCTGTATCAATGATACGATATCAATCTCCAAGCTGGAAAGGAGGGCATCAAATCCGGGCAGATGCCCTCCTTTCGCTCTTTCGCGTTCTCCTCTATATATATCAGACCCCACCCATCCCACTTCCCAACAACGCGCACACATTTTCTCCTATCTTTCAACTAAAAAAAAAAAAGCCTTTTCTTCCTTTAGACAACGCTGGAGAATTGCAGCAATGGGTCTCTCCAAGGCTTCTCTGACGCTTGCGTTCGTCGCTGTTTGTGCTCTCATGGGTTCATCCATCGCAGCAGATGCCCCAGCTCCGAGTCCCACCTCAGGAACCCTTTCCATCTCTCCCTCATTCGTTTACGTTTTCCTTGCCGCCGTCATGGCTCTGCTTTTCGGCTCTAATCTCAGGATCTGTAGATGTTTACTCTAGAGGTTCCTGGCTATGGATGGTGTAGAGCGTGTCCTTATTTTTTTCAGTATTATTACGGATTGATATCAATTTCGTTTGTTTCCTGCACTATTTGTGGGTGGGTGTTTGCGTTTTCTCTGCCGCGAACAGTAGTAGCAGCATATTCGCTTACAATAATTAGATGGGACACTTCCGGTTCCAGCCTTTTGGTCTTGTTTTGCTTTAAAGTTTGATCATATTTTAAACCCACATTTACACGTTAAATGCTCTGATATCAAATTGAATCCTACTATTAGATCATCAAATATTAAAATATTGTTAAGAGCATTGTCCACCACTCACTACCCGGTGCTCATGGAAAATATCCTCTGTTTTTTTTACCTGGGTACGTTGATTCACGGAATGTAAGATTATCAGTGTGAATAAAAGATTATCAGGAAATAAGATTACTGGAAATATTGTATTTTGTGTTTGGTTGGTTTAGCAGGAATGTAAGATTACCATGTTTGGTTAAAGGAATAAAATATTATTAAAATATATATTTGACCAAATTGTCTTTATTATATATCTGTATAATATTACAAATTATAAAATATTTATATATTTTCTTTAAAAAATTAAATTCATAATATTTATATAATTTTTTTTATAAAATTAAAAATATAAAAAAGGTTTAATGAAAAGGTAAAAAAAAATTTAATCCCAGAACTTCATATAAAATTTTAATTATAGATTTTTTTTTTGTAAATCTAAAATAATTTAAGGATAAATTTGTAATTTAACTTTCGTATAATTTTTAGTATTCAATGACAGAAGAATGATATTTTTGAAAAAAAATTAAAAATTTAAGGGCATTTTAGTCTAAAAAGTTGGTAATGTTACAATACCTAAGGGAAAGGAGGTAATGACATTTCCGGTAATATACCCAAAAAAATCTACTATTAATAATAAACATTATCGGAAATGAGATTCCCAACCAATCAAACATGAGAATGTGGGATTATCATCCCATGAGAATCCCACAATCATTGAATCAATAACCCCTCAAAATTAAGGCTTTTACGAGCTTCAAATAGATGGCCTTGGCTAATGGCTAGCAGCCTTCCTTTTCTTGTTTGTGCTCCATTTTTTATTTTACTTTTGGTTTTTTCTTTTCCTTGTTGGTTCCAACTTCCATTTCTGAAGCAATTATTAGATTCATTATAATTATTGAGATTCCAAATTTAGATTCATTAAATATTGAAGCTATTGCAGGATTCTACAGCATAACACGAGAAAGACTCTGATGGTTGCTTGTACCTTGGTGTACGGCTGGAAAAGAATCATATCTGATTAGTTTTGTTCCGATTAAAGTATTTTTTCTAATTTAAATTTCAGGTTAAATTGAGTTCTTTTCCCTAAATTTGGTCAAATGTAGTTCACGTTAACAGATCAAACATCGGGAGACAAGTTTATTAAATATTTAAATCAAAAAATAAGAGGGACATTAGACTTATTTAATTAGTACCTAAACTAAAAAAAACTCTAAAAATAATATTATATCAAAATATTGAGAAAAATCTAAATTTGTTCCGAGATAATTATGAAATTTTATTATGTAATTATAGATCATTAACTAGATTTTGATAAAATATACGGGGGAAACAGCATATAAAATATTAAAATTATGATATTAAATTAAATTTCATTTTAATTTTATGTTATTAAATTAAATATATTAATATTTTATTTGATTATTTTTTACTTTAATAAAACTTATGTTAAATCAATCAAGTTAAACAATTTTAGATAAACTTGTAATTCGATCATTGTTAAATTTAAATCATTTAAATATTTTTATTATTATAATATTAGATTAAGTTCATATCAATTAAAAAATTTCTCCGATCGGAGTCATTGCCTACTTGGATGGGTCTTTGGTCAATGACTATATCACAATTGACGTGAATGACAAATAATCAAATCCCACGCCAATTTCATTGCATTTGTTGCATATTTAAACATTATTCTTATTCTCTATTGACAACGAAGATGAGACACTGAGTCCCTTAAATAAGTCTACGTTAAAGTGAAAAAAATTCGTTCCAACTTGATCATACCCATCCATAATTGTATAATATTTATTTATTTTATTTAGGTGAACTTCCCAGAGTAAATTGCTGAAAGAATTAGGCAACATGTTGGTACATAGAAGTTTCGTGTGGTGAGAAATTGACCCATATACTCTACTAAAGAGATCTTACACAAGAGGTCTTTAAACTACTACCGAATTTAAAATTGGTCCTTAAATTTTAGATCATTTTATATCAATCCTCAAATTGTAAGTATCATTCTATTTTAATCATTATGTTAACATATCATTAACTCTACCAGTTAAAAGTTAATCTACTTTTGAAGGTTCTATGAATTAAATTCATGACCTTTAAAAATAAATTATTTTTTAAGTTACATGTTCAATTCTTAGGACATTTAATTTTTTTTGGGTAAACAGAAGCGTTAACAACATGCTAACAAAATGGTCAAAATGAAATGATACTAATGATGGTTTGAAGATTGATATAAAATGTTTTAAGGTTTAAGGGTCATTTTAGAATGGTCATAGTTTGGAAACTGATATAAAATGTTTTAAAGTTTAAGTATCAATTTAGAATAGGGTCAAAGATTGGGGACTCATATATAACTTTTTAAAATTTAGAAACCGATTTAGGATGTGAGTCATAGTTTGAGGACCTCCTAACGTATTTAACTCAAACTTAAAGTTTATCAGTATATTGGATAATTTCGAAGGGCGAAGGCTTTATAACATAAATACTTGGCCCATTATTGACCCATAATCTTTGTGTGGAATCTATCATATTCAAACAAAACTAGGCCCGTTAACTTGCTAATGCCCAATTTAGATTCTATACGCACAGCTGAGGTGTCCGTTTCTTCTTGAGCTCTCCCAAGTCTCACCCCCCCCCCCAACATAAACTCCCAACTTCATAGGTTTTTTTGTTTTTTGTTTTTCATTTTCCGCCGGCGAACTACATTGTTTTTCTATTCAAAAAAAAGGCTTAAAAGGTAGTTTTTGTCGATATTTTTCATGGAAGAAGGAGAAAGCATATTGGAATCAATCTACGAAGAGATTGATTTAGGAGATGGGGAAGATGCTGAGATGCTTGATGTAGAAGAAGGAGAGCTCGTGGATAATGACCTGGTAGATGATCGAGAAAAAACCGGCGTTGCAGTTGTTAATGTTGAAAATCAAGGTTCCCAGAGTAAAAACAAGACGCGCAAAGGAAATAAGAAGAAGAGCAAGAAAAGGAAGGGTGGTTCAGAACCTAAAACTTTGGATATAAACAGGTCTTGTGTTATTATTCTTTGCGTCAACCGACGTTTTCTTTGATGAAAATTGGATTTTGAAACTATGTTGAATTCGGGTTTTCTTTTTGCAGGTTTGTGTTAGATACTTGTAGACGGTTAAAAGAGAAGAAGTCTTACTTGGTGTATACTGCTGTGGGATGTTTGGGGATTTCTGCATTGAGTGATCTTGTTAAAGAGGTATTTTTAAATTCATATATTCGAGATTTATATTATATACTTCTAATTATCTGCGTGCAAGATATGAAATTCAATGTTGAGTTTACTTTAAATAAGTTGTTTAATTTATTGGTGGTAGATTTTGCTTTTAGAATTCTTCAGGAATTCTGTATGCTAGATATCCCCGAATTAAGGTTGTCTGTACTAGAATGCTCTCTTACAAGTTCAGTAGCTTAACTTGTCTTGATGATGCGTTAATACCTTCTTACAAGTTTTTTTGTTGTTGCATTTCTTCCCCATACCTTGTTGACCTGTCCTAGGTAATTTTGGGCTTGTTAAAATCTTAAGGGCTACCAGCAACTTCCAAGTGATTTGAACATACCCACTTAGCATCTGATCATCTACATGTTTCCCTGACCATTGCGGAATCCATTTTAGCATCTGATGATCTACATTGTTTTCCGTACCATTGCAGATTCCATTTTAGCATCTGCTGTTCTACATTATTTCCCTGCCATTGCAGATTCTATTTGCTAATTCAAATCCTCTGCTCTGAGCTGAGATGACCCTCTTCATAAGTTCCCTTTTGATATAGGTTATTTCCATTTTCTTTCTTTGACATGAGCCATTCTGTGGTGATGTAAGATAAAATATCAAGTAGGCTCACATATCACAACCTAATCATCCGAAATAATGAATGAACATGTTTGATATTTATAAGATATCATTCACCTGGATGATAGGTTAGCAGCAAAAGGTTGAAGCCTCATTCTGAATTGACACACTCAAGTTTGCTTGTATCAATGCCTGATAAATGGAACAATAATTAGTATCCAATTGGAACTGATAAGTAAGGCAAACTTAATCATGACATAATGCTTGACTTCTTGGATGAAACATTTTGCTGCTCATATTTAAAAATTGCATAGAATAGGTAAGACTTATAACATTGTGAACTTTTTTGTTTGATTTTGAGATGATTTTTTTGTTCTTTTTGTTAGTATTTTGGCCAATGGAGTAGTTCATCTTCCATGCCTCATAAAATAATGTGTTAAACCATCCTGGCTGCTTTTGCTTGAAATGTATAATGAAATAATTGGTAGAAATTCATGACTTGTTTTTTCCTCTTTTGTCCTGTAATATCTGTTGCACCTCTCTAGTTTTATTATATGTTTTGTAATTGCTTGAAATTGTAATTTTTGTAGTTTATACTTTGATCAAACAATATTCTCATCTGTGGTACTGTACTATAACTCCCTTAGTCCCTCCCTTTGCTCATCCCTTTGATGTTTTCTGCCCATACCCTAGAGCTTTTGCATTCCTTTTCCCTCTTGGATGTATGATGAAACCTAGAGTTCTCAGGTGGATGTAATTCAATCTTGTGGAGGACAGATGACTGCTGATGGCAGGCATTACAGGAATGGTGGTGGCGTTTTATGGAATATCATAAAAGCGCGAGAACCAGTTGCTTATCGAGAAATAATGAAAAAAGCCAAGGAATTTGAGGTGTGTACTTATTGGCACAATGTGCGCATCAGAACTTTCAAATTCATCTGTCACTTGTATGTAAATAACATTGTTAGGAATCAGTTGTCTGGCTGTTTGTATGCTTTGCTTATTTTCTTGGATTAACTTACTACATTCTGTGTCACTTTTTATAGGTTTTGGTATTATGGCTTTGTAATCTAATTGCAGCTTTGAGAAGTGATGTTAACATTATTATTCAAGAAACTTTTGATTTTCATATAATAGCAGCATGAGATGGAATCACAATGTGATTTATAGGCCTTTGGCTCATGTATCATGTGGTTTTATACTTTTTGTTCTTAAAATTCTAATCTAGGATAGATGCCTAATTGGTATTTATAATTTGCAGAAACAATTCAAGCAACAAAATATCAGACAAGCGCCACCACAGAGCAAAAAGAGTTCTTCTCAAGAAACTGCCTCTACGCTCGTGAATGAAACTGCAACAAGTATTCCAGAAGATTCTGGACCAATTACTCATAAACCAACAGAAGAGTTCAGTGCCGAAGGAGCACGGAAATCTGTTCATGATAGGATTAGGGTTCCTGTTTCATATGAAGACCTTCTAGGAGGATAAGAAAGATTTTTAATGTGAATGTTTTCAGAACATTGAAACATTGCTTGGCATCAATTGTTCATGTATTGATTTGTTGATACAATGGGTTTTATATAATTTGGAAAGCTACAGATGAGATCATGGTCATTAATGAAAGAATTATTAGCTGTTCTTGAATCAAAATATCCAAGACCCTTTTTCCTTGGTCTAGGACTCTTCCCAAGTATAAGAAAACAAAGCACTGGGTCCATATGTTAATCTAAGCTTTTTGGAGAAAGTCATGTTTTCTGGTTTCTGTCTGTTGACATTTGGGAAAAGAGAAAATCGCCTCAGTGACCAAAAAAAAGTTATAATATACGATTTTAACCAACTTTTTTTGGATTTGCGAAAATGACCAACAAAATCGCAACGCGAAATAAAAATCGCAACGCGATTTAGAAAATCGCAACGTTGAAAAGAAAATCGCAACGGTCAAAAGAAAATCGCAACGCGATATTCCAAGAATCGCAATGCGATTAAGAGAATCGCAACGCGATCTTCCAAGAATCGCAACGCGATTCCAAGAATCGCAACGCGATTAAGAAAATCGCAACGCGATTCCAAGAATCGCAACGCGATTAAGAAAATCGCAACGCGATTCCAAGAATCGCAACGCGATTCAGAAAATCGCAACGCGATTCCAAGAATCGCAACGCGATTCAGAAAATGAGTAAATTCTTTCAAAAGCTATTGTATTTGTTTCTTTCTTAAGAATTTTCTCTAAAAAGATAGTATCCGCGCGGACGTGTCGAAGACACGTATTACCACGACCACGACCACGACCACGACCACGACCACGACCACGACCACGACCACGACCACGACCACGACCACGACCACGACCACGACCACGACCACGACCACGACCACGACCCGAGACGAGACGAGACGGCGGCGGCGGCGCGCGAGAGTCCCCCTTGTTCTCTTTCACTCAACAAGGAAATGGGAAATCCAAGCCTTAAATACTCTTCCCAATAGTGTTTCCAATACTATGTGGGATTGAGCATTACTCAACACTTCAAAGAAAATATAGCAATTTTTGTAGCATGTTTCCCGCTTAATCCATATTTAAAAATATTAAAACATTTTATCATATTAAAACTATATGTATAAGTTTGAATTGAAATGTAGATATCTACAACTCTTTTAATTCTCTTGATAAAATGTTTTAATATTTTTAGATATGGATTAAGTGGGAAAATACTACAAAAATTGCTATATTTTCTTTGAAGTGTTGAGTAATGCTCAATCCCACATAGTATTGGAAACACTATTGGGAAGTGTATTTAAGGCTTGGATTTCCCATTTCCTTGTTGAGTGAAAGAGAACAAGGGGGACTCTCGCGCGCCGCCGCCGCCGTCTCGTCTCGTCTCGGGTCGTGGTCGTGGTCGTGGTCGTGGTCGTGGTCGTGGTCGTGGTCGTGGTCGTGGTCGTGGTCGTGGTCGTGGTCGTGGTCGTGGTCGTGGTAGTGGTAGTGGTAGTGGTAGTGGTAATACGTGTCTTCGACACGTCCGCGCGGTCGTGGTCGTGGTCGTGGTCGTGGTCGTGGTCGTGGTCGTTGGTCATTTTCGCAAATCCAAAAAAAGTTGGTTAAAATCGTATATTATAACTTTTTTTTGGTCACTGAGGCGATTTTCTCTTGGGAAAATAGTCCATGCTGGTTTTGGACTTTGTATTTGTAAACTATTCAAGGTCAATCAATTACATGACTCATCCTGGAAGGTTGGAAGCTGGCTGTTCCAAATTTGTTTTTTTGTCTACGTAGTGGATACAACATTAGCTACTGTCCATTGGACCAAAGATCATCTGAAGCTTTAGAATAGTTAACGCTGGTTAACAAAACTAGTCACACAGGGAGCTTGGCTTTTGCTTCTTTTGGAGGAAGAGGCAAACCACGGTGCAGTCATCTACTTTTGAAGATGGGAAATTCTTTTTCCAAGAGGCCGTAGCAGCCTCCACCACCGCCCTTGATGCCGCCTGCTCGTTTTCCGCCTCCAACACTATGGTGGCTACTTGCTCGTTGTTGAGCACATCCCATACCTAAAATAAAAATAAAAAAATCTAAGGTTCATTCTTATATTATGAAAAGAAAAAGGCATTGTTATTTCATTGAAATGAGGCTGGCCTACCCCGTCTGTTGCGAGAACAATGAACTGATCATTTGGGGTTAAGTGGTGATGGAAGACGTCAGGAACTGCAATTATTCCATGGTTTTTGAGTAGGAAATCTCCGAAAGCTCGAGACATGGCTAAGCCTGGAGAATCTTCATGTGGCAGCCATACACGCTGGATATGTGGCTCTTCCTTTAAAGCAAGTACCCTTCCTTTGCAATATCTTATTCTCTCTGCTTCACCTGCATCAATCAGCATATTTCATCAGCCACCCAATCAGGAAAAAGAAAAAGAAATCATATAGTAAATGCTCTGTAATTCGATGATCTGTTACTTGGTAAACCAGGCTTCAAATCAGTAGTTAATTGAACAGCCTTGATTCCATTCTCGGTCATTGTTCCTAACACTGCTCTTGAATCGCCAACGTTTGCAATAACAAGATCTTCACTCTATGAAAGATAAAAGATGAAACTTTTTAATCTGAAAAACTCGTATGATTTTGTTAAATCAAATTATAAACTCGAACTAAAATAAATTTTGTTACCTGTCTGACAACAACAACTGCAGTGGTACCACTGGTGGAGCAATCCAAATTCTCCTGAAGCATGATCTCCTTGTCCAGCAACTTGAAAGCACTGATGCAAGCCTCTTGCCAATTAAGAAAACCCTTGCTTTGTATTGATTTGATGTCCGTTTTATCCACCTTAGCTTGACATTTCTTCTCATCTGCTGATATAATCTTCTCCAGAGCGTTCTTTTGGCTTAACAACAGTGATGGCAACCTATTCCTCACCATATTGCTCACCACATGACCATTCTTCCCATGACCATCAAAAACTCCACAAAATGCAACACCTTCCATGCCATAATCCTTGAAGACCCAAAAAACAAAAACCCAGAGCTTTAATCAACAAAAAAAACCCAGTATTTGGTTATATATAACTACAAATCGAAGAGTTAGCAAACCTGATAAAGGATGGCAGCGTCCTGGTTAAGCCCTTTGCTTCCTTGCTTAGTATAGAGAGAGCCGAGTCGTTGAATTCCAAGAGAAGCAATGTTTTCAGCCAAGAAAAGAAGGTTGTTCAGATGGCAGTCATCGTCCTCGTGAATCTCTGAAGATGCAACGGATATGCAGATTCCCATCTCAACTCCAACAAATAATTTACTTAATTACAGCTCCGATGACTTTGTGAAATAGTCTCCTTAATCGTGCATTTAAAGACTGCATAATGCGCATGTTAGCCAGATATTAAATCAATACTCATAAATTATTAATATAATACCCCATAAACAAGTGGCTCCCAATGAGATGAATGCACATAAAAAATTAATAAATCCACTGTTCTTTGAAAAATTAATAAATAAATTGTTGAGTATTATTATAGGCTACCCCAAGATTCACCTACGTGTACTTTTTTTTTCATTTGCAAAAATTAATCATATATACAAAATAAACAAGTTTAATCAATTATTAATACAAATATATATTAATTAATCTTAAAAGGCATAAAAAAGATACTAATAGCAAAACCAATCATTTAGGATCAAAATATCATCTTATCTATTTAATTGTTTTTTTTACATTATCTTATTAATAAATTATTATTTTATTGAATTTTATCTGAATTTACATTTGAATAATTATAATTTTCTAAAAATATAATAAAAATTGCATCCGTTGTAGTTTGATATATATATATATATATATAAACATTACATGACCCCGTTATATGTATATAAAATATAATGGGTCATATATTATTTTAAAATATCATTAAAATTTTAACATACTAAATAATTAATATTACATATATTTACAATTATCAGAAAGGTATAAAATAGAGCGCATATGTAAATTATTAAATCTAAATTTAATGACTTTTGAGACAAAATTATGAAAAGATTGGTCAAATGTAACCAGGAGAAAACAAATAATTATTATAGCTATTAAGAAGGTTTAATCCTACCCTTTGAAGTTTTAAGACAGCGTAATCATGGTTAATCATAGTCTACTAAGCATGCACAATTGGACAAATGGCTTGGTTTGAGTGTGTCATCCCCTGCTATTGGCTTAATCTTATTATGATGTTAATCAAACGATCATAACCGCGAATGCAGCCGACTTTTTTTTATGACCGTTAGATCATAAAATTGATGATTGATGCACGGATGTAATAATAATAATAATAATAATATTAATAATAATCGATGGTGAGAAAGGACTGAATTAATCCACAACATGAATATTCATCATGTGGTCAATCAAAATTTTAGATTATAAGTTATTTATGCGATGTATTAAAATGATGATATTTAATAATAAAAAATTATGATCTTTTAAAAAATATTTATGAGTCTATGAGATTGAATGAAATATTTATGTTTATAAGTTTTCAAATTTAATTAAAAATAAAATGTTTTTCATTCATAGATAACCTTTTGAGAAGAAAACAACTTCTCATAGTTAATGTCCACTTTGATCTAGCTCTAATAAATGTACCCTTTTTTTTCAGGCTATAAAGTATGAACACGTGTCGATGATGACAAGGATGAATATTAATCCAACATTTTGAGCCCTGCAAGTGCCAATCCATACACCTTTTATAAGCACGCTTGATAGTTTCTTTAGTCAAATAATATGTCAGAATTCATTAGTTTGGATAACCCCAGACATCTTATCAGATTAAAAAAGACCATTACTTCTATGACATACTTTTTAATGGATATCTATTTCTAATCCAATATGCAATGCCGTGGAGATGAGGCTCAAATTAAATTGTTTTAGGGAAAAGTTAGAATCCATTACACAATCAAAAACCAATGTATTAATAAGAAAAAGCATGGTAGAATTATGGAAAACACCATCATCGTCATCGGTATACATCAAATCGATGGGATATAAAAGCTTAAATACGCCCCTCTCGTGTGGAATGTTCGCTTGGACCCAAGGTTTCTGCATCTGTTGCCCTTTTGTCTGGTATGCATGTCCATGTAAAAGGATAAAAGACAGTTCATAGTTAAAGTAGTGCTAAAAGGGATGCTACTGCAGTTGCTTTCGACATGTTGAGAAAGTTCCAATAAAAGCTCAAGCTAATGATGAAACCATTGCATCTTATATGAAATGGAACAATTTGACAATTTGACAAACACAGAGAAAAAGGTTCCATATTTACATAAAGTTTGCAGAAGATCGAATAGGTTATCTTGTTCATAGATCATGATTTCAGCACACATGCAGAGATCATACTGATAAAATTACCAAAGGACTGGAAGCCACATGAATGTCTGGTTGTTGAGGCTCTCACCTACTGGTGGATACATGGACATTATCTTCACCATTTGCAGGTTCAGCTGACTTCTTCATAAGAGGCTTGGGAATATCACAGTCATCTTGAGGGCAACGTTGCTGAGGGTGACACAACAACATGGACATGAAACGGAAGAGGGTACGTGGTAGCCCATGTCCACTCTCGTGGATGTACCCTTCGTACTCACTTACATGTTCAAGTGCATCAACAAGTGCATCGTAGACTGCTTGGGGACAATTATCCGGTCCAGGTTTGTCATGGAGGTACATCACATCCAAAGTGAAGAGCTTCTGGTTTATGGGCCATTGATGACGGGGTCGTGTTGATGATCTGCAGTAAATAAGAATCTAAAATGCCGAAACACCGAATATCAGAATTTTGAGGAACATCGTGAAAATAGAAACACTAATATGTAAACCACAAATACATCTCCAGCCTATAACCAACTTCAGGATTCATCTAACAGTTCATTACTTTATAACAAAACAAAGAGATTTAGACATTCCTATAAATTCATCCAACAAACGATGACTTGAAAATATAAACAAAATCATTTAAACCCGTTTAAAAGAAAAACTAACCCGTAACGAAACTTGGGGTGTGTTTAGGATTGGTTTTTAGCCATCCTTGCGTTTTTATTGACAGCAAATGCAATATTAAACAAAAGGTTTTTCCCATCCAAAACACTCTAAAAATACTTTAGGAACCGAATAAAAAAAATGGCTGCTAAATGCTACTTCTAAACCGCAACAACGATGCTAAACTAGCCTAGAAAAAGGGGTGTCGAGTTTGAATCATTTCCTTTACTTGACTAATGATAAGAATTGATAAGAAAAGGAAAAGAAATGGGCACTGACCACTCTTAAAATGCGGTTCTGGGCACGAGACTTCTTGGCTTCATGAGCTGCTGAGCGGAACAAATTGGTGAGATCTGCTTGACTAGAAGAGACGGTGGTAGCCGAGAGAGCTCGAACCGCAGCAATGGTAGACTCGACATCACTGCTGAACTCTTTTCTAAGCTATGAAAATACAATATATGAAAACTAAATGAAACGTCTAGATGGAAAATTGAAAACCCCTAATTTTCAAATCAATGAAGGCCAAGATTATAATCAAAGCTGAAAAAGATAGAAAAGAAAGAGAGGGAGAAGAAAGTACCCAAGAGGCGGATTTGGAGAGAGTGGCGAAAGCGAAGCGGTGATCGGGGTTGATAGAGATCTTGGAGTTGACGAAGAGAAGGATGGCTTGCTTTATGGAATCCAATCTGGTGACTCCCGCTGTTTTCATTTCAACAAGCGACTCTGCGTCCACATCCACGCAAAATAGTATGTCCTCGCTGTTTATCCGCGTCGGATTCAAGGTGTAACGCACTGCTCCGCCCGCCGATGCGCTTCCTATTCCTTCCATTTTCATTTTCCCTCGATTTCCTTCCTTCGGGCGAGAAGAAGACATTCGCAGCCAACAAAGGGGAAAAGAGAGTGGAAACGATATTGCCAAACAGACAACTAAACGACGCGTTTTAAGTTTATTATTTGGGTAAACTACACAGATGGTCAATAATGTTTGAATAAATTTTTATTTTTTTCCAGTGAAGTTTAAAAAATAATTAATTGATTGCTAACGTTATCAATTTATAACAAATTGATCCCTTGACGTTAACAGCCGTTATTGTTGTGGGTGAAGGAAATTGACTTGACATCATTTGACTACTATTTTTACCAATTTTTCTCTCTCTCTCATCTCCATACATTTATAAAGAAAAAGCATTGCTAAAAATATAAAGAACGGGTTTCCTTTATTCTATGTCATGAGAGAGCAGAGCAGAGGTGAAAAGGAAATCATGGTTCTAAGCTTTCGCCGCTGCCATCTTTCGCTCTAGCGTTGGCGGGACCGTTTTGGTTACTCACCTAAGGTTTCGCCGCCGTTCGGGAATAGATATATCATTGCCGTCGCTGCTTTATTTTGATTGTTTCAGGTAGAGACAAACATTAAGTTTCAGGATTTTAACCACCACCAAATTCCCTGCCACTGTCCTACTTCATTGAAAAACGATGCTCTTCTTAAACCAGTCTTGCCTGCTATCAATGCTACAAATTTTGAGCCAAATTCTCAAAAAAATTTAGAAGTTTAGCCACCACCAAGTTCCCTGCCAATGTCCCACAAAAAGTTCTTATTCACAGTTGGTTCTTTGCTGTCGGAGTATCCATCACCAAGACAATGGTGGAGATTTTGACCTTTTTATCACCCCAGAGTTTCAATGCAGTTGTTGCGACAAAAGTAATAATAATTCAAACTGTTCTAATTCATCTCTCTGTGTATTTGATTTTTTTTGGCACTTTATTTAGAAAAATTAAGTAAAAATCTAATTACTGGGATTAAAAGTTTATCACTTCATCATCCGGCGGCGATGAAATTATTAGAACGCTAATTTTAGACCAAAACGATACTCATGAATTTTTGAATATATCTGATCTGATGAATCGAATAATAAAAGATCAGAGAAACAAACGAATCTTGCTTGTTTTCAACATTTAGAAATCTATTTCTTCAAATAATATTTTTCTTACAACTATGAAACTTGTAGCTCTCTGGTTTATAATTACGAACTTTGACTACTTGTTCTTGGTCTAATGGATGAAATCCATGAGTTCAATACAAACAAAAGATCCATCAAATTAATGGAGAAAAGTGAAAAAGAAGAAACCTTCCCTACCGATTCATATATATATATACACTTCAAGAATCTCCATGTTTATACCAGCACATAAGCATGGCAACACTTCAAGAATCTCCGGAGTCGAGTTGGTCCACTGCAATGGCTGAAGCCTTACACTGATGAAGTTCTCGTTGAGCTTGGCCGGAAAGGTGTGAAGAGTCTTCTGGTCGTTCCGATCAGGTAAATGGTTCATATCTTAAAAGTAGCTTTGAAATGCTAGATTTTGTGGTGGTAAATTAATTCAGCTCCCATCGAAAATCCCAGCTTTGTGACTGAGCACATAGAGACTCGGGAAGAGATTGACATTGGATAAAAGGAGTTGGCTCTGAGATCCAGCATCAAGAATTGGGGTTGGGTGCCTGCTATCGGTTGCACCTCTTCCTTCATCAGATATCTAGCTGAGGCTGTAGTTGAAGCTCTACTGTATGCAAAAGAAATAACCCACCAAAACCAGCAAAGCGTATAACTTGGGTTTGCTTCAAGACTAAGCATGAGGATCATGGAAGGGCATATCGAGATATTTTATTCACTTTTGTTTTCCATTTTCCATTTTCCAAGAGGTGTAATTAGCTGCTTATGGCCACAGGTATCTTATTGAGAAGTTTCTTCATTCATGAAAGATGTTAAATGAGATAAAAGAGTTGTTGAAGCAGATAGGTTATTGCTAGCTCATTCTGATTTTTCTTACAGAACAGCAAAACCATAGGTTTTGACAAAAACATGGAAGAAACGAAACATAATAAAAAGCTTGCTCTGCTTCTTGGGGACTCAATTAGACATAGTAGCCAGTGATGGTGAACCCTCGACCGACAATCTCTCCAGCACAATACCAAGCAAAGCATTCTAACCCAAATAGAGTAGCAACACATGCATCCTCGATCTTCAATTCATTCAAGTTCTTCCAGATATGCTTCACATAATCCATCTCCTTATGGAATGCCTCATAACGACCAGGAATACTGCATTGTATTCAGAACATTGTACATATTATTACAAGTGCAGAAAATCACAATCAAACAATGCTAACCAATGGATATATACGGCGAACTAGTTTGTAAAAAAGAGAGTAGCATATTCAATGGATCAGCACGAACGTTTGATCAATGCAGGGAGCATAGGGCAACCGATCGATGTTCAAGGCAACTGGGAAAGATGGAACATAAAATGTTGGAAGAAGTTTAGGCTAAGCCTTTAACAAGCCATTGGCATGCTTAAAAGCATAACACTGACACCATTAACAATGACAATGGTCCTCTCCATTTCCCTTTTTATCGTTGACACCATTATCAGTTACCAGCATAAGCTTTGCTGCTCAGACCTTTTACATTTTTCAGCCATCATATCCATGTAAATATCAATCCCAACAATGCAAAGTCTTTAACAAAAAGGAAAGTAATCACCCAAAATTACAAATGTGGTAACCTGGCTAGACGAGTGTAAAACAATTGCTTTGATAAAAGGTTACATGTCTCGACAGTGGGTGGGTCCTGAATGTAGTGCTTATTCTGCTCAAGTAGCTGCTTGTAGTACAGAGGAGCATGCTTTGATACCAATTGGGATGCTTGAGTAGCCTTGGACTGCAACTGAGCTAACTTGAATGTCAACGCCATTGCCTTCCACAAACAAAACCAAAACATAATGATTCAGTCGTAACATTTTACGATAAAGCATGAACCCTAATAGAAATATTCGACAATGTTATAGTGATTTTCAGCCCAGAATCATTGTCTGAAAATTTTGGGCATTCTCCGTCAAATCATTCCAAAATTACGTGTCTTAAATGCAGAATCCCAGGACGTAATTCCCATGCAAAATATCCAAATTCTAAGAAAATAAATAAATCAATTTCAAACAAGAGAGGAGACGTAATTTCCTAAGCACCAGTAAATCGATTAAAACTGCAATGTGAGGAAACGAGGAGATATACGAACATACTGCGAAAAACATCAAACCTCCATGAAATGTTTTATTAATAGACCCAATCGTTATATCTATATTGAAAGCAATGACGAGGAGGCAACAAAATAATTTACGATAAAAAAATAGACTACAAATTCAGAAAAGAAACTTCCATTAGTTGCAGAGGTGAATAGTGGCAGATTACAAGAACATAAGAGAGAAGCTTTAGAACCTGTGAAAAGGAAATAGAGGAATGCTTTTGGCAGAGAGAGAGAGAGAGAGAGAGAGCAAAGTGAAAAAAATGTGAGGGAGAGCGCAAAGTTTTCCCGAACGTGTGATCACTCATTTTGATTAATATGTGAAAGACTCGGTCTCTCCAAGGCCGAAGGAAATGATACCACTTTTTACTATTTTTATTTAATGTGCGGAGCTTTTGGCCTATGTCATGAATCCAGGATTTAATTCTAGAAAATAATTTAATATACGAATTGCCGAAAGGAATTAACTTCGCTTACAACATCGTTAGAGTGAGGGGTTTATCATTGATAACTCATATATAACATTTTTAAGTTATCTTCATTATTGTCAAGTATGAAATATTTCTTTTTTATAAATTAATTATTTTTTAAAAAAATGAACTAAATTTAAATAATTGTAAATTTTAAATTTACATTAACCGTTCCAAAACTATGATTTGAATTAATCTTAGATTAATCAATTTTTATTGTTTAATCCTACCATACAGAATGCTGGGATTCTTTTCTTCTCCTTTTTGGTGTGTGTGTGTTTATATATTTCACACCAAAAGAAGCAAAGCTGGAGCATTTAGTCGTCCACATGACAAAGCAATTATTGATGAAATTTTATAGTAATCAACATGCTAAAGTGAAAAGAAAAAAATGATAGTTTAATTTAAAGTTAAAAGTAATAAAAATTAGACGAGATTGAAAATATTATGAAAAATTATAGCAGTTTGGATTAGATGCAATCTAAGATGTTACATTCATCGTAATATTTTCGGTTACAATCTAAAATGTTATAAATATAATATTTCCAGTTACCAACAAAAAAAAATGTTATAAAGAATTTAACATTTTTTGTTGTAACAAAAAAATATTGTAAAGAATATAACATTATAAGTTACGTCTAACTTGAAAATATTATGATTTTTAATAAAAAAAATTATACTCTCAATTTTAATAATCCTTTAACCTAAAATTTTAAATTGTACCGTATAACTACCCAACAAACATACATAGATTCATATCACATTTTGCGTCCTTAGTTATTTAATCAGTTGTTGATCATATACGAATCAATTATCTGTTCTGCATGTGAACAGGTGACCTTTGTGTTTTTTCTTCTTTACCCCTTCTGCCAGGTAATTCTGGGAACATGCATACCTCAAGTTTTTGTCGTTTTGGAACTAGCTCTTTGATGTTTCATGTTTTTGTAACGTGTTTTTGATAATTGATTGTACTGAATTGGTGTATCAAATCAATATGGTTTAGCGTAGCTTCTTATTGTATTATGAATGAATTTATTTTAAATTGTACCAATTAAATTATTTTATTGTTTTTTAAAGTCGCAAATTTTTTATAACTTTAGGATGAATACATGATAATAACCGATTGAAAAAATACATAGACCTAAACTTACATATACGTGCAAACCTTGTTGCTCGAACCTGAATCATCAAAGGAGAACATAATTCACTTTAATCACTGAAATCACTCCGAAGATTCAATTATTTTATTGTTAAATATATAATAAATATTATTTTTTATTTACAATCAAACCATTCTGTTTATCGATTGTAATGATCAAATCATTTTATTTATCAGAATAATAATTAAATTATTTTACTTATTGATCGTAGCAATCGTATCACTCAAATATAATTAAGAAATTAATATGTATTATATATTAAAAAAATAAAATTACTTGCTTTCAATTTGTTCCACCTAATTATTGTAATTAATAAATAAAATAATTCAATTATAATTTTTTAAAATACGATAAGTTAATTATAAACTTACTTGTGATAAGAGCCTTATGACAATTATAATATTTTTTAAATTTTAGTGATCAAAATATAAACATTTTAAATGTTTAGTCAGCCTCAGTGTAATTTATTCTAATATTAATAACGTGGCTAAATGGTTAAAAAAGACCTCCATACACATGATCGGTTTTTATGGACCACGAAATTAAATGATTAATTATCCTATTCTTACTTTAACCGGTCTGATTATTAAATGGTTGCATTATTGGTAAAAAATATTTATTTAGACTAACTATACACAATATTTGTTTATATTTTATTCCAAAGGTTTAATGATTGGTCTACAAAATTTTTCTTTTGATATCAGATTCTAAAATCTATTATCTTAATCCTTAAATGTTAAAATGTGGAGTAGTAATTAACGGCAAATTTGTTTGGATGGGCCATTGATTTTTTTTTTGTTGGACTGGTTCATATTTTGATTTTTAAAATAGACTTAATGTTACGAATAGACGTCGAAAGTCTGTCAAAACACCTATTATCTTTCAGAAGACAACTGGAGCACTCGACGACTTCAAGCTTTTCATCATCGGAGTACTAGGATTGACTTCCCTCTCTGTTGCAGTTATACCAGGCCGAGTACCATGATTGGACTTTCGACATTTACCGTAACATTCATTCTACTTCAAAAAATATTTTTTTTTTCACTTCTCCATTTCAACTAGAGAAAATAACCTCAGTGACCAAAAATACCTTATAATATACGATTTTAATCAATTTTTTTTGGATTTGTCAAAATGACCAACTAAATCGCAATGCGATCGATAATTCGCAACGCGATCTCCGATATCGCAAATCAATTTCCAGATCCGACCACGACCATTACCATTACCATTACCACGACCACGACCACGACCCCGACCCGAGACGAGACGAGACGGACGACGGCGGCGGCGGCGCACGAGAGTCCCCTTTGTTCTCTATCACTCAACAAGGAAGTAGAAAAACCAAGCCTTAAATACCATCACCAATAGTGTTTCCAATACTATATGGGATTGAGCATTACCAACTCTTGTTCCCAATACTATGTGAGATTGAGCCTTAAATAGTGATATTATTTTTGAATGTTTTGCTTAAAATTACAATAATCGCGATTGATTGTAGATTGACATTTAATTATGACATATTTAATCGTATAATACTAATGTAATTGGTTGCTAATTCAGTTGTTTTAAGGTGCATGATTGTTAATTGTTTCCTTAATAATCACATTGTATTGAAAACAAGTGTTGGTAATGCTCAATCTCACATAGTATTGGAAACACTATTGTGAATGGTATTTAAGGCATGACTTTCCCACTTCCTTGTTGAGTGATAGAGAACAAGGGGGACTCTCGTGCGCCGCCGCCGCCGTCGTCCGTCTCGTCTCGTCTCGGGTCGGGGTCGGGGTCGTGGTCGTGGTAATGGTAATGGTAATGGTCGTGGTCGGATCTGGAAATTGATTTGCGATATCGGAGATCGCGTTGCGAATTATCGATCGCATTGCGATTTAGTTGGTCATTTTGACAAATCCAAAAAAATTTGATTAAAATCGTATATTATAAGATATTTTTGGTCACTAAAGTTATTTTCTCTTTCAACTCTTTGTTATCTCAAAGAGTCAAAGCTCCATCAAAGGATTTTTATCTGTAATTAGCTAAAGGAAATAAAATAAGGAATGCTTAAAAAATAGTTATAATTATAAATTTATCACCAATTTATAGAACAAGCAAGCTCTCCGTTGATATCATCCCTATCTCTTAAATTGCGAGTCCAATAGTCCTTAAGATTCTTTAAAAAATTATATAATCAATTAGTTGTGTCAAACAATTGATACGAGTGAGATCGATACTTATTTAAATAAATTTTATAAGATTAAATTCTTGTATGAGTTTTAAAAATTAGATTATTATGAAACTAACGGAATGATTTAAAAAAAATATTATTGATGGATAAAATATTATTATTTCTAAAAAATATAGATCTAAATAATTATATCTATACTTTGTATGGTGTGTATATATTATCAATACACTAAAAAAAATTCTAAACATATTTTACTTTAGAACCTCATAGGGTACTTAAAAAATAGATCATTATGTGAACAAAACTTTTAAAAGGTTGCCCCTATTGAAGATTTACCGCTTTGATAATTTTAGGATAAATTTGAAATATTTAAAAGTTTGGTATTAATTTAAAATAAGAAATATAAAATAAAATTAAAATATTTAAAAATTTAAGAATTAATTTAAAGTGAAAGTCATAATTTAAGAATGTATAATACAATTAATTATATTTAATTAAACAAAACGTGTCCGTTGCGTTTCAACATTATCCCAACTCAAGACTCAACGAAACGCAATTCTCCAATAGTCTGTGGGGATTGTCAGAATCCATCGGAAAGAGGAGAAATCTTCTAGTTGTAGGCCTGCCGTGTACTACTCTCCACCTTCCCCAGACAACCAAATCCTCCAAAGCCTACTAAACCTCAGAGGCATAATAAGCTTTGCATACAGCAATACTAGAAAGTATAGTGAAGGGCATAAGCTCTCTGTGTCTGATGTGTGATTATTCGAAGTCATGAATTCAAACAGCAAAAACATATTCTTTGTATTTTTTTGCAACCCATCTTTCTTCTTTGTCTAATCATTTAAACTTTTTCCTTGTTTCGAATGATTTATGATTTTTTTTGGTGTGTAATGGTTTCTGATATGTGGTTGTTTTGTTGCTAATTTTTGTGTGCATTTGATTATGATGAACAGCAGGGGAGCTCCCTGACGATGTGGGAGTCGGTCTGTGCAGCAGCTTTGATACCGATTGTTGCAGTGATGGATTTCTTGATTTTTGCAACGACTAATTGTTTTGGGTACCGACTCCGACCCAAGAAACGCCTGTACGGGTTTGCAGATCTTACCCGGCTCGCCGATGAATCCCAATGTATTTCTTCTTTTCATTTTCTCATTTTAAAAATCGTTGAGGTTTAGTTGTGGTGTCCTTATTGATGAAAAAAAATGTATATTTTTCGTGTTTTGGATAAAATTTCGAGAGATTCCGATAATAAGCAGATTCTTAAAATATTGGAAAAATCTTTTATAAAATTGAATATACTTATGTTGGATAATAATCAACTCGAGTTTGATATCTTTAGTTATGCATATGTATTTATATTAGATTCTACTTTTTGCCCTGCATCTTTTGAGAAAACTATCTGACATGGTTGATTGATTACTTGTTGGTTACGTAACTTATGATGCAGTTACGGTGAATGACATAGAGGCATTGTATGAACTGTTCAAGAAGTTGAGTAGCTCAATCATTGATGATGGATTGATCCACAAGGTAAAAATTCAAATGCAGAGGCAATTTGATGTCATAAACTTTGTTATGAAATTCTGAATTCTTTTTCTTTTGTGTTATAGGAAGAGCTTCAGTTAGCATTGTTCCAGACGCCAAAAGGCAGCAGTCTTTTTCTTGACAGGGTAGGTTTCTTTTTTGGCGAAAATTCCAGTTTCTATATCCCATGATTGAAATTGGAAGAAATTAAAGTACAGTGCAAAGAGGAAATGAACTGTTGGGCAAGAATTTGGGGAATTGCATTTTCATGTCTTGATGTGTGCTAGTATAATTAATGATTGATCAGTTCCCTTTTATTTTTGATACCTGTTGATCTTTCCTACTGCAGGTTTTGATCTTTTTGATGAAAAGAAAATGGTGTTATTGAATTGAAGAATTTGTCCATGCACTCGATGTGTTTCATCCGTATACCCCTGTAGAAGATAAAATTGATTGTAAGGGTCCTTTGAGAAATCAATTGCTCTAAACCATTAAGTATGGCTTTGGCTTATCTACATCCTGTTAATTTCCTGCAGTTGTATTTAGGTTGTATGATCTGAGACACACAGGTTTTATCGAACGAGAAGAAGTGAGTAAGCAGTTCTAACCTGAATCCAGTGTCCTGCAACAGACTACCGTTACAGCAGCTGTTGAATTTTGGCTAATTGTCTTTTGGTTGAATGCAGGTTAAGGAAATGGTAACTGCCATTTTGATGGAATCTGAATTGAAATTGTCAGATGACCTTCTCGAGGAAATCATTGACAAAGTGAGCTCTCCGAAGTTTAAATTCTTTGCTTTTCGTTGTTGTGATTTTGTAAAGCATCCGGTGGCTTACTGGATCCTCATCTTTCTGCAGACATTTGCCGATGCGGATGCCGACAAGGATGGTAGAATCAACAAAGAAGAATGGAAAGCATTTGTGCTTCGTAATCCCAGCCTCTTGAGGAACATGACTCTTCCTCATTTAAAGTTCCGTGACAAAATCCTATTTCCAGCTTTGCATTCCCAATCTAATCGTTTGCTTGGCCCTTATCTATCTTTCGTAACTTATCGTCTCTCGTTTGTCTTGTTGTCTATCTTCAGGTGCATTACTACCTTATTTCCCAGTTTTGTTTTCAACACCGGAGTTGAAGACTGGTAGCACCGGAGTCGATGCGATTCAAGGGTGCAAAACTATTCACGTAGTGGATCATCAACCTGGTTTCAAGAAGCTTTGGTTCATGTGTCATTGTATCCGATCTTTATGCAAGCACTGCCTGAAAGTGACAGTAACCAAATCATTTTGATCAAGGTCTCTTTCTATGCTATCCGGACCCAGTTTTAGCTAACTTCAGTGGATCATATGTTGGTCCAAAAGTCCGCAGTGCATGGACTATGCTCGCGATATTGTTTTTCAATGAGCTTGCTTTGTTTAAGATTGTTCCCCCAACTAGGGTTAACCTGTGCAAGTAATTTCTCTCCGTTTAATGAATTTGTTAGCAAGTGTTGCATCTGGAAATCATATGTAATCCTATGAATTTCGTGTGCGACAATTTTTTTAATAAATTGATTATATTAATATAAACGGATATTTATTATGTATGTACATTTAGAGTGCATTTGGTTTAAGAGTATAATTAATAGAATAAACTTTTTCTAATTACATACTCTTATTTGAATGTTATTAAACTAATCAATAATTAATAATATTTGATAACATCTAATTATTATTAGATAACAGTTTAATAAATTAAATAATTATTTTTATTATTTTTTAATGACAAATTATATTTTACCTAATATTTTAATGTACCAATTGAAAGAGGCATCAAATCGAAGCTTACTTCTAATGCGATTTCACATGTAAATATTCTCCAAGCTGCCCAAAGAAAGACGATTCTCCATCTTTCCTTCCATTTATCTTTCTCAGTTTCTTCTTCAAGGTTATTATCGGAGCATTTGACTAGCAGCAATGGCAGACAAGCCAAGCCGAGGGTTGATATTATACGGGGACGGGTTGTCTCGCTTCATTCAACCGTCACATACCCATCTGCACTCTCTCGCATCTATAGCCAACTGTGGTTTCTTGAGCCTCCCAAACTCTCCTCCGTCAGGTTCCCCATTCCCCCTTTTGAATTCCTTGTCACTTTGTTTTTCCCTTTCAATTTTCATTTTCAATTCCCTCTTTGGATAACGGATGATGGAGATATGGTCTCTTTAAGATAAACCCAAACACTGAAAAGATAGTTTCTTTTGCATTTTGGTGTATTTAATGAAATTAAACATAATTGTTTGGAAATGGATTAACTATTGAAACTACAAATGGGTTTTCTTAGTTTTTGGTTCTTTTATTTGTTTTATTTCAAGCACTCACAGCGTTCAAAGGCCGAATTTTAGTCTGCTCAACTTTCCTTTATCAGTAGTCGAAATTCATGCTTCTTTTCACATTTTGATTGTTGTTGTTCATCCACCGTATGGGAATTTACTTGGATTTAGACTGCAGAAAGCGAGGATGATAGGATCGTAAGAGAGTTTGCGGTACTGGTGGATGCCTTTGAGGCATTGCACAAGGTGAGATGCCTATTATTCTAGGTTATTGGAAATTGATTTTCATTATAAATTCTTCAATGCTCGATGGTATCATTTATTTTTCAGAACGAGCAATTTTCTAGTGAATCGAAGTCTCAGAACTCATCCTTGATTCCAAGCATATCAGAGAGGTATTATCATGCACTTGCCGGGTTTTAATAGTTGGCTATTCGAATATGCCACTCAACATGCTTCTTTTTCTCGGTTCAGGTTTATGGGAATGAAAGCTGCTATATTGAGTAACAATTCTAGTTTGAAATCCTTCGGAGAAAACTCGGCTTTGATGTATTATTGAACATGAATGGATTATTAGGAAATAGCAATACTCCCCCCGCATCATCGGTTGATAGTTTGGCGTCTAAATTGCTGTCCTTGCTTGGATTCCAAGAAGGGAAGATGATGGAATCCAACCAGTTTGATTTAGTGATTTTGCATGTTGGGTCGGGAGAATTTGAATGTCAAAAGCGGCGATGCTGCTGTCAGTGATGTGGAATTCATGAATGCTTTGCTTGGTGCTATCATGAGTATAGCTACACCTGGAGCTGAAGTTGGTTCTCGTCTACTATTGTCCCTCGTAATGAGCTACGGATATGTGTCAAAGGCTGGTGATCCCGGTTTGTCGATTTTGAGCAATAAAGATGAGAAGAATCCTCATCTTTCAGTGCTTTTACCTAAACAGAGTTATACAATGAGAGGAGAAAGTCCGCGAAATGATGTTCGGTAAGAATAAACTTTGTGAACTCTCATTTTGCGCCTTTTGTGTGGATTATTTAACCAATTTATGATCAACAGGAACCACAGTCCCATGTTATTTGCTCAATATCAGTATTCTGTAACCCGCAAGGACATGGTCGAGACTTTTTCTTTTGAAGATTTTAAGGAGGTACAAATTGACACAGAGATAACTTTTTAAACCTATTCACTGTTCATTCGACTAGGTTTAGGGTTATGAAGTAATGTTGGTTTTGACATGTCTCCAAACGTGCATCTGTTCAATCTTTGTAGCTAAAGTGAAATTGTGCCTAGTAAACACGAACATAACCTCGGCATCATATGTTATTGATTAGAATTTTTTATGCATAATTAATGCAAAAATGCTGCATATTTGGTTTCACGGAATTAAAATATTTGCTTAGCATTTTGTTCTTATTGCGGAATTTTCGTTGCAGCGTTCCGGAAATCTTACCATACCGGCTGGCAGGATGCTGCATGAGGTAGCATTTAAGCTTTGGAAGGCGCCCAAGTATGGTGCATAAGAGGAACTGATTTTGAAGTGTAACCTTTCAAAATAAGTTCAAAATAAGAGAAACGTGATAAGTTTATAGTACATCCTGTACTCTTGAAATCCTTGTTTTCTCTAGTGATCTTGTTCTTTGATCTATTCTCAACTTTTGCCTGTGTTATGATACACATTCTCCCTATTGATCAAAGCCAGTTAATTGTCGCATATTTGCATATTTGATGTGCTTTTTATATTAGTGTAAACAACACTGGAGGTCACTGGACTACACTAAAGTGATTGTATTGGTCATTGAACTTCTAAAATTACAAAATGGTAATTAAAATTTTCTAACTATTACAAAATAATATATATCAAAATATTATTTTATTTTATTTGTATATAAACATTTAAACATTTATTTTATCTGAATGATTTGTAAATATTACTTTCAGTCTTTCATGAGATAAGAATTATATTCGATGTTAAAAAAAATAAGTTTTCTATAATTATAGCTTTAGAATATGTTTTTTTAGTTGGTTGCACGTAAGAAATCTGAAGTTGGTTTATAAGAACACAGAGTGCTTGTGTACAATAGAGTAACGATAATTACAGCATTTGAGTTGCAAAAGCAGCAAATTTTTGTTATTAAAGCAGCTGATCAAGTATATCAACCAAATGAAAAGGTCACAGCTGTAGCCGAGAGCATGTATGCAAATGGTGGATACTTTATGTACATGAGCCAGAAAGAAACAACGGGGATTTTCTTTTTTCTTCTTTTGGTGGACGATATGTTTTCAACTTGTATTTTTGTGATTATGCATATCAGATCAACGGCCCCAAAGACACACGGATTCGCAGATGAGGTTGCGATCACCGTATACATTGTCAACACGTCCTGGTACACCAACGGGAAGAATACTAAGAATAAACATGCAAATTCATGTTCAACATAATACTTCAATAACATGATTGGACAAACTCGGGACAAATCAATCACAGAAAAAGATTGCCCTTCTCCGGTTAAAAGTTTTACCGAAAACAAATTCAGAATTGGTCTATATTTCGGAACTCAACATCACAGTGCTCTCAAGAGACATGGCCACATGGGTTATGATGAAAATGTTGAAGAAAGCGGCAATACGGTACAAGATGTTCTCATACGCACCTGTAGTAGGCCAGAACTTAGCAGTGCGAAGCCAGGAAGCTGAGAAGGCCGCATATTCCCGTGAATATGGCTTCGTCCATGCATCTCCCATGAGCAGAGATGGTGGATGATGAGCTCCCTGCATGTGCATATTTTAGGCGTAATGCTTCAATATATGTTGATCATATCTTATTGTTATCCAAGAGAAGAGGGAAATATGGTGTAAAGAAGAGCCATTCACGTTCAGAACATTGTTGTGGATATCAGCCTTTCCATTCTCAATCTGAGCAATTTCTTCCCTAATGGAGATAAGGGCATCACAGAACCTGTCGAGCTCCGCCTGCACGAGATATTGAACATGGACGCTAGAGCGAGAGAGAGATGAGGAATACTAAATGGCGTTCGGCAGATAGATACTTGATAAATTATACCTTGCTTTCACTTTCAGTGGGTTCAATCATGAGTGTGCCTGGAACAGGCCATGACATTGTAGGAGCATGGAATCCATAATCCATAAGACGTTTAGCAACATCTTCAGGCTCTATTCCAGCAGTGTTCTGGCAGCAATGGTGACCTGAAATCACAGGCAAACAAACAAAATGCTAAAGAGAGTAAAGGTAAAAAACTATTATACTTTAACTACCTTAAAGCCTCTCAAGTCCACAATGAATTCATGAGCAACCGTTCCATTGACGCCACGGAAAAGAACAGGGTAGTGGTTCTGAAAACACACAATCGATTACAAAAAGAGATAAATGTGAAAACTGAGATGATTATAAGCACATAATCTCAAGGAGAAAAGGTAGGTAACTCCAAGCGTTTTGCCATGTAGTTTGCGTTCAAAATAGCTATCTTTGAAGCATCAGTCAGTCCCTTAGATCCCATCATGGCTATGTAAGTGTATGATATCTGCAAGATAAGTGTAGAGCCCCAAGGTGCAGCAGAAATGGTACCAAGAGGGTCTGATTTGTCAGGGGCAGGGATACCTCCAGTAGATATAGGTTTCAAATCACGGTCCGAAAGCGTGATTTCGTCTGTGAAATAGCGATTTCGTCACCGTCTGAGTTACCCGCTACTCCCGTAATAGCGCCCAATAACGCCCGCGACGGCCATAATCACGATAAATTCGAAATGACCGAAAATACGTTCGCGACCCTGATCTACAGTATAATTAAATAGAAATCAATATCGAATAAAAGTATCTTGCAGCAGAAGAATCCACCGAATAAAATGGGTCGGACCTTATTGCATCTAAAAAAATGGTTCGGACCTTGAGTTCCGACTTATTTTTTACATTTTTTCGGAATATAATAATTTTGTCCAAATTATTTGGAACTTGAGGAAGACCAAGAAGCCAAGTTGTTCGAACCCGTCCTGAACCACCGGCCATAATGGCTAAACAGAAGGAGATTCTTATTGTAGAACCGCTGAACCTCAACCCAGTGCCAGCCAATGCCTGTCCCTGTCGTGGACCCAAGTCTCCAAATCCAGCAGTTTACAGCATTTGTCTTTGTATATAAACGTGTCAGTGCACCAAATACTAATGAACATGTCACCACGTACAAACTATACCAATATCATTACAATCACACACATATACATCACCAACCCTATACTCAATTAAAATATACTAAATAACATTCTACATACTACTAGTTTAGGAGTTGTAAAGACAAGATATTTATAGATGTTCTAATCGTGAATGTCTTGTGACCTATTAAGTGTAATTTAAATCAAATCTAACACAATTGAACTCAAGTAAAAGAAGTAAATGGAATAAATTTTAAAAAGTTTAATAAGATAATTGAGACAAATATAAAACATAATATAACACACTTATACATAATATAGTCATATTGCAAATTAAATATAACATACATAATTATATAATAACATTTTATAGCTTTACTTATGCGTAAAGTTTCATAAACAAAGTAAAGTATATATATGTATATTTATTTATTTTAACATGGTGATCTATTAGTAGTTTATGGATATTTGAATTTTATCTCCAAGTTAAGTACCGATATGATATTATAACAACAATTATCTCTCTTCCTCGTCTAGACACGTAATCCTAATAAATAAAATCCATCCAACACATACACAAGATTATAAATCATATGACATGTAGGTTGTGCCTGGAATTAAACTAAACACTAACGTGACATTTGGTTCGTAGGAATTCTTTGGAATTAAGGGAAATTAGAATCCAATTCCACTACTTTTTCATGTTTAGTTCAAATTTTCAAAGGGAATTGGAATCCCTCATGACTTCAACTTTCCATCAAATGAGGGAAATTGAATTCCATCAATTCTATGATGGAATTCAATTCCCTAGTTGGAGGAAATTGAAATTTGATCATACTACCATCATCAATCTTTTGGTAACTTATTCATATATTGAATAAAAATATTTTTTTTATTATTTCGGTTTGGGTCGGGTTTCTAATTCATATATTCGGGTCGGGTCGGGTCGATTTCGGGTTTAGGGTGAAAAATACCCGACCCGACCCGAATATATATATAATTTTACCTTATATATTTAGGAATAATTACAATAATACCTTTTTATATATAATTATTTTCAATTAAGTCACTGTTTTTATTGAATAAAAATAATTTTTTTATTATTTCGGGTCGGGTGAAACTTTATTTTGGTCGGGTCGGGTCGTTTTTTTAGTGTGATGTTTGGGTTGCGTCGGTCGGGTTCGGGTTTAGGGTGAAAAATACCCGACCCGACCCAAAAAATATATAATTTTACCTTATATATTTAGAAATAATTACAATAATATCTCTCTATATAAATTTTTCAATTAAGTCACTGTATAAAAATGTTTTTTTTTATTTCGGGTCAGGTCGGGTTTCTAATTCATATATTCGGGTCGGGTGAAACTTTATTTTGGTCGGGTCGGGTCTCGGATGGAGGTTCCCTTGTTCTCGGGTCGGGTGAACCAAAAACCCGACCCATGGCCATCCCTAATTGGGATGATTTTAACTTATAATGTTTATTAGCATGATTTTTATAATTTATTGAAATGAATAATCAATCAATAAAATTAAAATTTAATATTTTTAAAATTTTTATAATATATTGCTACATGTAATTTATAAAACAAACTAAAATTAAGCAAAAACACAAGAAGGGTAATCCTGTCATTTTACATTACTGAAATCAAATGCATCTGACATGTCTGCGAACCAAACATAATATAAAATTGGATTCCAATTCAATTTCCAGCCAACCAAACAGAATATGAAATTGGATTCCAATTCCCTCATAAACATTCTAGCGAACCAAACTCCACCTATGTTTTAATTATTTATTATTTTGTGTTACATATTAATGCTTTCCATATTTTATGTTGACGTCGAATATAATTTATTCAAAAATTGAATTATTTCATTTATATTATATATATTTTAGAGAAACCCGTCTATTATACATTAATAAAATAATAAAAACGCTTCATTTTTCAAAAAATGAATTGTTTCAGCTTGTAATGTCAAACTCGAAATGAATGTCTTTATTTTGTCCAATGTATACCTGATCAATGATCATGACAATGTGAAATAAACACTAAAATGAAAATTTGGTGGCACATGCATGTATGAGACCAGTAGCGTGTTTAGATGACAAACATACTTATGTTCTTCACGTGCAAATTGGTTCTTAGACAATTATATCATGCGGTCATGCCCATATTCCTTGGCATATATTGCTATGCCCACATGTACATGCTTCGTATGCATGTGCGTAATAGGCACATTATATTTGCGCGCACGTAAAAAATAAAACTTATTCGTCACTTAATTATCTTTTTACATTTGTTTTAATAATTGAATTTTAAAATGTTTTTATTTTAATAGTTTTATTTAATTTTTTTATATTTTTTACAATATAATATTTTTTACCACATAAAATTATAATAACAATAAAATAAAAAATATTAAATCATATGTTCTAAATCTCATCCAAATTTTAAACTAAAAAATATTATATATTAAATCTCTTGACTTGACACTTGCACCAATGTCTCCAAGTGATAGATCAAATCAGGTGGTCTTGACAATCCGATATTTCATATTAAATCCTATGATCAGACAATTACATCAATGTCTCGAGTTCAACTCCGCGACCCATGACAATATGATCATACTAATATTTATGGCTGCCCTTGCCCTGGTTTTTTGTGTTTTTTGTAAATCAATAGTGGATTTTCGTAGATCATCCAATTAATGGAGTAATTTTTGGATAATTAACTACTAATTATCGTTTTTAAATTTCTCCACCGCACTGGACATAGTCGGTGGCCTTTGGACATACTCCAATTTATTTATTTGTTTACCCTAAAATTTACTTTACTGGGTTTAAATCTGATTTACCCTTCTTTTTTAGTTAATCCAAAAAGTTACTTTTGTCAATATTTGATTCTTGCAATTAACAACACGGAATTAAAAAAAAATACTTTGGTTATTCTCGTACAAAGTGTCAAACCCAGACTTAAGTGGTCCAAAGCAATGCTCCATATTGATCATTTCTTACGTAATAAACTGATTTATTTCGTCATAATTGGGGTAAAATGACTTTCTTTAAAATTGTCTGGAGGCGGCTGGTGCAAATTACTTAACCATCCGATCGAACTCTTCTAAACCGTAGGATTTAAATTCTCCAACTATAAAATACAAAAAGAAGAGAATGTGAACCCTATATTTTGAGATAATTTATTTTACCTCAATAAAGCCAGCCAACGTGTAAATATGTCTGGATCTAATAATTTTATGTTATAATAATATTTTAAGGTATTAAATATTTATTTTAATATATTCGAATTCGGATGCCTTTGTCCTAAATCTAAATCTGGTGAAGTGGCAACATCAACTTTGGGTGGAGACTATCTTTCTTTCTATTCGATTCTTCCCTCAGTCTCTCTCTCTCTCTCTCTCCGCAAATCTAATCCTTCGTTCTCTCACTTCCAAAACCCGTCAATTCTTTGTGTTTTTCTTTGCTGTTAATGTCAGAAAAAGTATTCCCTTCATCCAAACCCACCGCCACGGCTGCTCCACCGGCCGCCAATGGTGGAGCTCCAGCCAGTACGAACGGTACAACCAACGGTGGCGCAACAAAATCCCACCTTTACAATCCGACTTCTCGCCCACCATACCGTCCACAACCCCACCACCGACGCCACCGTCCGCGGCGGAACTATTGTTGCTGCTGCTGTTTCTGGACTATCCTCATAATTCTCATATTGGCGCTTTTAGTAGCCATAGCAGGCTCCGTCTTTTACGTGCTTTACCGTCCTCATCGACCTTCATTCACCCTCGCTTCCCTCCGTATCCACCGCTTAAACTTGACAACCACTGCCGATTCCTCCTCGTCCCATCTCTCAACCCTTTTCAACCTAACCGTTTCCTCCAAAAACCCAAACTCACACCTTTCCTTCTCTTACGATCCCTTCGTCGTTTCGTGCGTATCGAGCAATAACGATGTTTTTATAGGCAACGGATCATTACCAGCTTTCGTCAGTAACAGCAAAAACGAGACGACATTCAAGGGTGTGGTGACGACGACATCGAGTGATCTAGATGCCGAGACAGTCAACAAACTGAGAGCGGATCTGAAGAAGAAGAATGGGATCTCGTTGAAAGTGGAGATGGATACTAAAGTGAGGGTGAAGATGGGGGGGTTGAAGAGCAAGAAAGTTGGGATCAGGGTTTCGTGCGATGGGGTTAAAGGGATTGTTCCAAAAGGTAAATCACTGTCGGTGGCTAGTGTCGCTGGGGCCAAATGCAAGGTTGATCTCCGAATCAAGGTCTGGAAGTGGACTTTTTAGCCAATTGTTTCCATTTAAATGTATTTTTCTCTCCCTTTTACTCAATGCTTTTGATTTTTTATTAGCTTTCTTTTCTGGGTTCGTAAAAGAAATTGTGGAACGAATCAAAGAATCAATCGAGGTGAATGTATTGCCATTAGATTTAGGAAAAATAAGAGGCTGAAGTCTTGAAGATGAAGATGTTGAAACTGGATTTATTCTCTTCTTTTTCATTTTGAAGATTTTTTGTGGCGTTGTAACATCTTTACTATCAATGAATATAGAAATTTGGTTTCCACCATCATTGTAATTTCGCTGTAATCATTTTGTTTTCGTTACTGGTTTGATCTTCCCATCTTAATCCAACAAATGACCGTCTACCCTTAATTGAAAGGGTAAACTACAACTTTTGACTGCCATCATGTTTTGATAAATTAAAAATTTTAAAATGTAATGATTAAAACAAAAATATGATCAAAATTGAAGGATGAAATTTGTAATTTAATCTAAAATGAAAATGGTATAATAAAATGAAGGTTTGAGAAGAGAGAGGACAGCGAACGTGTGGAGCGGCATCGAGGGTAGGGATGGTAAACGGGCGGGTCGGGGTGCGGATATTCCTCCCTATCTTCATACTCATCTAATATTTTTTAATTTATCATCCGTCCACCACTCATGATGGATACAAATTTTTAAATCCACACTCGCCCACGCGGGTACATTTTTAAATTCATTCCCACACCCACTACCCACTAGCGACATACCCATCTAGACCCGTCTGACAGCAAACTAATGGGATGTTGGAGTTGGTTCTCAGACAGTTCGTGATGGGGTAGCAACGCATGCTTTAATTTGTCAAATGAGTGGCTTTATGAATGTTATGGAGACAGATTGTAGGGAGCATGTAGTCGCAGAGCTAGATTATTGAGTTACTTTCGATGTTAATGTTCATAGTACGCCTAATATGGATTTTGAGGGGCTAAAGAACATGGAAACTGCTGTTTTTGATGTTAATGCATATAATACAACTAATTTGTGTTTGGATGGGCAGTATGGGCTAAAGAACATGGAAAGTGACGTGGTTAGTGGGATTATAGGTTTAATCAAAGAGTCGAATATTTCCCTAATTAAAGATCAGATTAAAGACTAAATATCCTTAATATTTAGTTAAATTATATGTTATATATTATACAATATTAAAATTTATAAATTAGTCTCTAAAATTACACCTAAATTCATAATGGTCCGAAATTTAATAGATATTTGGCTGGGCGGGCGGATGTGGGGCAGGCGGATGCAGGGCGGATGCGGGGTGGGTAATGTCTCAAACCCATTACTCGCCCACCACCCACGACGGGTACCACTTTATAAATCTACATCTGCCCACTACCCGCTAAAATTATACCCATCCCCGTTTCAATTGAACAGATACGATACGAAATCCACAAAACTGTACCCGTTTATCATCCCTAATAGAGAGCGATAAAGGATTTAACTTTGAAACGAGTGTGCTTTGGTTTGGGGTGAAGAGCAGTTGAATCATATATTATTATTTTATTAGGGCGATAAATTTTATGATTTTAGAACGCGCGTAAAATGGCTGCTTAAATCAAAGGTTTTAATCATGGGCTCCCACTGGTTTTTTAGGTGTGTTTATTCGTAAGCAGCTTAAATTCGTCTTGATTAAATTTCGGTCAAATTTGATTTAGATTGAGTTGACTCGAACTTAAGATATTAATAAATTGAGTCAATAAAAATATATCTCGGTTAAATAAGTTCACGAGCAGTTCGTTAATTTTTTATATAATTTTTTAGTAGTTATCTTAAAAGATTATTTTATTCAAAAAATTATTAATTTACTAATAGAAAATAAAAAAATGATAAATTAATAATCTATTAATTTTTTTAAAAACAATAAAAAAATATTAAATTATTAATTAATATTTTACTATACTTAAAAATCATATCCTAATTATTATTTTAATGTATTTGTGGACTATTACTTTAGAGTTTAGGTTTTGAAATTGCTTCACACTCTCTTGATATTTATTTAGGTTAAATTTATTAATTTATGTTTATATTAAACTCTATATAGTATTAGTAGATTTCACCTATAGTTAATAAAATAAGATAAAAATTTCGATGAGCTTAACGAGCAACAAGGTGAGCAACGAACAACGAGCTTAACGAGTACGAGTCGAGTAAAATTTTAATGAACTTAACAAGTAACGAGTCGAGTCAAGCAACGGAATTTTTTAACAAGCACTCTCCAACTCGCAATCGACATCGGTAAACACCCCTAGTGTTTCTATATGCTTATGTATACCACTAAACTACACTAATAGTATTTAAACTATTTATTTTTATTATGTTTTGGTATTTATTTGTTTTCTCAATCATATTTAATATTTAAGTACTAAAAGAAATAAAAATAGTAGTTTAGGTATTCAATGTATAATTAATCTTTTTTTTTCAGTTTAAATAAGCATTTGTCGGTGGGGTTTAACCATAGTTTACTATTTCCACATTAATTAATCTAAAGTATCATCCTCATGGTTTTCTACCTGCCATAGTAGGAGTTTAGGTTGAATGAAACCATAATTTTCAAGGACAACAACCTCACGCCTGGTCCATCCATGATTACCTCAGGATCGGTAGTCGAAAGCAACAGCAGTCTTAAGAGATGAATGCATCAAGAAGTCCGATCAATGAAAAGCCTTGAAAAAGAAACACGTCTACAAATTCCAAACCCAGCATATGTTACATCCATAGGAGATTCTCAAAGAATCATAGAAACAGGACAACAACACGCTGTGAAATGAAAACCACTAAATTAAATGCAGTATTCTACATCCAACTGATGCCCTACCTGCACCTTTGAGAATGAATGCAGGAAAATTTTCCTCCAAGGATGAAGTGCTTCACATTTTCCTTATCAACCATGAGTGTTAACTGCTTCCCATACTAAGCTCCTTGGAACTGAGTTACTCGCTTCCCTTGCCTGCAATGCCGCTGATCGAAGAGTCCCGATCGTCATCGCGTTAGCCTTCCAAAACGACGCTGTATTGTACTGCAACTCGTGTTTCTTGCACAGCTCCTTAACGAATGGGGAAATTTTCCTGAGATGGCACCTAGGTAACCTTGGGAACAAATGGTGCTCGATCTGGAATTGCAGACCACCATGGAACCAGTCCATCCACGGTGAACAAACTATATCGAGTGATCCATCGGTTTGCTTCTCGAACCAATTGTTTCCGCTAGGTGGTCCGACATAAACATTCGATGAGAAATGGTTTAAACAGAATTGAACATGTTGGATTCCAGTTACAGCAAAACTGGCAACCACAAACATCAATCTCTCACCCCAATTAGGCAAACAAGAAACAAGTAGGGGAAACCAAGTCCAGTAAACAAGGATCCCCAAAATCTCTTGATCCCTATATGGCACCTTCCTCTTAGACAACAAAAATATGAAAGATTGTGCAAATAGATTGATCCTAGCAAGACACATTACAGGATAAAATGTCCAGTGCTGGTAGCTGATCAAGACCCTAGAAACAGAATCAAAGTTCATCTTCCTTTCGTAGAAACAAGATGTAAGTGAATGGAAAAGCTTGGAAGATACCGCAAAGAAGGGCATGTGTTGAAGATCTGGATCGAAATCTAGACTGTTACAAGCAATGTGATGAGCATTGTGGTTCCATTTCCACCAACCAATACTGATCCCAGCAAGGCAATTCCCAGTAAGGATCTGAGCAACTCTGTTGAATTTTCTGTTGGACATAACTTGGTAATGCCCAGAATCATGTCCAATCCACCCACTTTGTATCCATGAGAATCCCAGTAACAATCCGGAACAGAGATGCACCATGGTGCTTTTACAACATAAAACACCATAAACACTGGTACAAAACAGCAATGCTATGATGCAAAGCAAAATGCCAGTCCCGTGTTTTTTCTTTTCAAAAAGACCCATTTTTGAAAAATCAGCAGCAAGTTTTCTGAAATCTTTGGAAACTTCCGAGACAGAGTAGTCTTTGAGATGGTACCCAGTGAAGAACTTGTCGAGATATTGCCAAGCTAAGCCTGGATGATAGGCTACAAAGGCATCAGTGGCATCTTGGCCAGCCAGATTCAGCAAGGGAAGTGCTCCTCCAGGGTGGTGTTGACTCCATTCAGTGACATCATAGATCTTTCCCTGTATGGATATCCATAGATCTCCTGGTTTTTTGTGGCTTTCAAGCTCCGCTTGGGAAATATACCTCCTTGACTCTGCCATTGAAGCAAGAAAACAGTAACAAATGAAAGGATCCGACTTTTTAGTGGTTCTCTTCCTTCCTAGGATGTTAAAGGGAGAGTCTTTGCAGTAGTTGTGCAATGATTACGGCATGATAAAGAGAAATGAAGGCTTCTTCTTTCAATGGACCGTGAAAAAGTACTCGGTTTTATTTCTGGTTTTTGGATTTTTGCTTTGCCATCGCCTGTACGAGTTTGATTAAAACTAATGGAGGTGAAACCAATATATAAAGATAAAGAAGCAAAATGAAGAAGCGCCACAGACTAGCTTAACTTAAACGATAAAAAGCTGGGATATCAGAAACTAAAATATCTTGGGTGTAGGATGAAATACAGATTTGAAGGAAAAATTCATACTTTATTTTAACCAATGGCTCTTGCTTAATCAGTGTAATTTTGAATATTAGCTGTAAATTGTAATGTCTCTCGCAAGTGGCATTCATTTTCATAGGAAAAAATTGGGTTTTGGCTCATAAGCCCATACATTGTTAGACGGGGCACTGTTTCTGGATCCAAGTACCAAAAAGCCCGAAAAAATCGGTTCAACACTTCAGAATAGTTTCAGACTTTCAGTAGATAAGAATATCCGTACCTGTCTCTTTTGATTCCTCTCGAAAATGGGATATAAAGAAGCGAAAGTCCCCTCTTTTGTCACTTATCTCATGTCCAGTTTCCACTTTCTAACAACCTCTTCTTCTTGACTTCGTTTCTAAGCTTTATTTCTTTCAAGGTAATTTTTTTTGTTTTTATTTCTTCTTTTGTATGTTTATTATTCCATTGTTGGGTGCTCCATAATGGGTAGTTGTTCTTAAATGAGAAAATTCACTACTTTTAAACCGTTGAGTCTTTAAGATAAATGATTTTTTTTTCAAGTTGGTTACTTGAAGGATCCAGCTATGCTGCTTAAATGCTTGATTTTTTGCCACTAGTATGAAATAGTGTGGAACCCAGATTTTTGTATGAGCTTATAGCTATTGTGGTTGCTAGAATCTTCTTTTTAACACTTTAAATTGCGCTTGAGTTGTGATAAAAATCAATTGTGGAGGTACTATTACGTTCTTATTAGCCTTAACGTCAACACTAACATAACAGTAGATCGTTGAATTTCGATTTTTTGCCCTTTGTAGGAATTACTGTTGAACACAGGATTGAAGCAGATTTCCTTTTAGCCTGAAGCAGATTTCCCTTGGTTTTAGAACTAATTTTGGACCATATTGGTATTTGGCAGGTGCATTTGCCTATTGTTGGTTAGAATCAAACAGTAAAATGGCTCATTTGCTTTCAACTTCTTTATCAGTAAAGATCTCCTCAAGCAACAGACCTTGCGGTCAACCTCTGAATCAGGTTCGAACCACTCTTGCTAGTTCTTTTACCATTAAGACATCCAAGTCGCCCTTCAAAAGGCTTGTTTCAAAAGGAGATAGAACAAGAAAGAGTTGTGTGGTACTTGCAACTGCTGCACCTGTAAGCAAAGAAGTTTCAGCTAATCCCAGGTCCGGTTCTGATGAGTCCCGGAGTGATTCTTCGAAGCCTCAGCGGGTCATGGTTATCGGCGGAGATGGTTACTGTGGTTGGGCTACTGCACTTCACCTGTCCAACAAAGGTTATGAGGTTGCAATCGTTGACAGCCTTGTCCGACGGCTCTTTGACCACCAGCTTGGTCTTGACTCCTTAACTCCCATTTCCTCCATCCATAACCGACTCCGTTGTTGGAAAGCTATCACTGGAAAGACAATTGAACTTTATATCGGTGATATTTGCGACTTTGAATTCTTATCTGAAACCTTCAACTCATTTGAACCTGATGCTGTTGTCCATTTTGGAGAGCAGCGGTCTGCCCCTTATTCGATGATCGATCGATCAAGAGCTTTGTTCACTCAGAAGAATAATGTCATTGGAACGCTTAATGTTCTTTTTGCAATAAAGGAATTTAGAGAAGAGTGCCATCTTGTGAAGCTTGGGACAATGGGAGAGTATGGAACTCCAAACATAGATATTGAAGAGGGTTATATCACAATTACTCACAACGGAAGGACTGATACTTTGCCTTACCCAAAGCAAGCGAGCTCCTTTTATCATCTCAGTAAGGTACATGATTCAAATAATATAGCCTTCACTTGCAAGGCTTGGGGGATCAGAGCCACTGATCTGAATCAAGGAGTGGTTTATGGGGTAAAGACTGATGAGACTTCAATGCACGAACAGCTGTGTAACAGGCTTGATTATGATGGAGTATTCGGAACTGCATTGAATCGGTTTTGTGTCCAGGCTGCTGTTGGTCACCCTCTTACAGTTTACGGAAAAGGAGGCCAGGTGAGCATAGTCTTTCAAATCTCTACTAAAGCATTGATGGCTGGCACATTCCATTTATTATTTGGTTTTCCTGCTTTCATATATAAGTCTTCTTCTCATGTTTTATTTATAAATTCAGACTAGGGGTTACCTTGACATAAGAGACACGGTCCAATGTGTGGAACTTGCCATTGCGAATCCAGCGAAACCTGGTGAATTTCGGGTCTTCAATCAATTCACAGAGCAGTTTTCTGTCAATGAGCTGGCTGCCCTTGTAACAAAAGCAGGAAAGAAGCTTGGACTTGATGTGCAAACCATATCCGTGCCGAATCCAAGAGTTGAGGCAGAGGAACATTATTACAATGCAAAGCATACTAAACTCATTGAGCTTGGGCTCAAACCGCATCTCCTCTCAGACTCTCTTCTTGACTCGTTGCTCAACTTTGCTATCGAGTTCAAGGATCGAGTCGACACAAAACAGATTATGCCCAGTGTTTCTTGGAAAAAAATTGGGGTGAAGCCACAGACTGTGCCGGCTAATTAGGTGGTTGATGATGAGAGGAAGTTCTTGTTTATCTTGTTGTATCTTTCCGCCCTTCATAGATGGTGCTGCAGCCCTTTCGACTTTTCAATGAGAGAGTAATATTGCTTGAGTTCTTGAGTTGTGACATTTGGTGCAGGAACTAGTTTACACCGTGAGCCTGTTTTATATTCATTTGCTTATTAAAGCTTGGTAGGCTGGAAAGTTACTGTAATACATCTGAAACTGAAACAAGTATCCACCATTAGCAGCTGTTTTATATTCATCGGTATTATACGTTAAGTCTTAGCATACAAGTTCCCCGAAATCTTCTGAGCTATTTTCCTCTTCCAGAGGAACATTGAACATCTTTGTAACCTGACAATTTATCAGATTCGAGCTTTGATGAAGTCAACTCTTCATATGATTGTAAATTTCGGGGCATGTTTGCCTTTATGAAGTCGAGCACAACTGTAGCTAACTCATCTTGGTGCGAGGTATACTCATGATCAGCTCCTTCAATAATGTGCAGCTTATGATTTCGAATAAATCTGGCAAATTCCTGGGCATCTTTGGCTGGTACAATTTTGTCCATGGATCCATGAATTGTCAGTACCCTGAAAATAATGGCAATCATGGTTAGAAATTAAAACACAAGTGAGAAATCTGTACCAATAAATAATCACATCTTCAGTGGAAATGCAAACTGTTGAACCTGATATAGATGATGGAGGATCGCAATTAAAAGTATGTTCATAACAGTGCAATTGATCCAGTTGTATCATGAACATCAGAAAGGCAATCAATGCTAGGATTTGTCTAACATGCAATTTTGATCGATTGAAAGACATGCCGCATGAGTATCGGTGGTTAACCGGTCCATCAAACTTTCTAGAGTTACACGACATTCAAACTGTCCTGCAAATTAATGAACAAATACTTGGTTGCAGAGAATAAGTTAACTTCTTTATCACTAAATTGTTGCTTGGAGAGTTGACAACAGAACTTAACAACGTTGGGGAACATGAAGCAGAACACAGTGGCTACCTTTTCTATTCTTAACATCAATAAACCCATTTTGATCGAGTAAAAAATCTTTACCCAATCGACCTTCCATGCCGTTCTCTAGATGGAATCTACCGGAAATGTTGATGACGATGGGTACATCATTGTACCTTGAAGCATAGAGAAGCACCACATTTCCCCCCTGCAAGGACCCCTTTCAGCATTATAGAACTCTAGAAAGAATTGATAAATGAATCAAAACATCAAATTCTCTATAAAAACATAAGAGGATATATGCGAAAGCAATAAAAAACATCCGGCTTGAGAAACCTAGATCATCTGCTGCAAGTTGCCTTTTTTTCCCCAGCAATTATCCCTTTCTCTTTTCATATAAAGTCCGAGTAATAGATTCATATCACAATTGTATGTTGAACAAACCTTTACTGTGGCCAACAATTGCAGTTATTAGACGTTCCTTCTCACGAAAATGTTGAACGACAGCTCGTAAATCCTCAGCTTCTCTGCGGTAGTTACCATACATAAAGGAGCCTTCACTTTCCCTGGAAGACCAACAGCACAAATAACCGTCGTTTGTATCTAAAACATATCACTTGCGGACGTAACATATAAATTCCAGAACATTTTTATCTTCTTACCCATTTCCAGCAAAGCCAAAGCGGAAAGCACTGATTCCCTGTCTTCCCAAAAGCAGTGGCAAGAGTCACCATGGGTATTCGTTCCTGCAAATGGAAATCCAGAACTGTTTTATTGGTCAAATAGATGGATTCGGGATGGATAGAGGAGAATTAGTAGGGCCATCGTTTAAAAAAATAAATTAAATTATAGATATTTATTTTATATTTTTATATTAATAATCTATTTTAATCTTTAAAATATTTTAAGTTTATACAAAATCTTACGTCGATATTTAAATTTTCCCATTTCCAGCACAACATTGATCACTGCAGTGTAATCCATCTTTATTGTTGCTGTTAGCCTGTTACTTGTTCTTGCTGACAATATTCAAACTATCGGTTGCATTTGGATCATTTATAAATCTTGATATAGACAATACTATGTGTACATAAGTGTAAATGTTATAATCTACGAATACATGTAATCTTGAATATATCTTAATTAAGTAATACAATTTATGCACTTATTAATATATGTTTAAAAATGTGTGATGTGATACATGATCTTTAGTTTTATGCAATTGTATACTTTTTTTATTTGATTCAATTTTCAGAAATTTTAAAAGTTGATGTGTTAATGTAATATCATCATGCATTTACATATTATGTAAAAAGATAATTGAACCATAATTAAACTGATAAAAAAATGAAAGAAACTAAATGAGAGCTTAAAAGTTAAAACAATGAAGGTAACGCCGGGGAGAATTATATATATATATCCGGGCATCGATCAGTATATGCGATGCATTATTTAAGATTATTTATCAAAGGAAATGGTAATGCTGCAGTGCTACATCTCTCCAAATTTCTGATCTTCCGATGGAAAACTTAATTAAGAAACCATAACCTAAGCTTGCCATGGCGTTTGACTGTGCTGACTGTGTTGCCCATATGTTGAAGAAGAATATATACGAGGACTGAGACCCTCTAAGTTATGAGGGAAAGCTTTAAGACCCAAGAAATCTCTTGTCAACCCATCATTCCCTCCTATACTGCTACCACTTGCTTTACCTTCATGATCAGTTGTTCTTACTCGAGATTCTTTTGTCTTTGAGAAATCACGGTCGATAGTTTCTTGAAAACCAATGTCGCTTCTTTTGGTGTTCCATATTGCCCCATTCAAAGACTGTTCAAAAGATGAAGACCCCTCAAGCTCACTTGTAGAAGATAAAGAACTCGTCATATCATGGAATTGAGAACTAGGAGCTGCTCCGGCTGGACCAGAGGTGACACTGACAGCAGCTTTATTCCCAAAATATGTCCACCCGCCATGGGTGAACTCACTTCCATGCTCTTCACGTGGGGTCAAACCCAGGCCAAAACCGGACGTAGACGTGGAAAAAGTTTTGGAACCGCTGGTTCCAGACATGTGAACCTGGTGGTGGTGGTGATGATAAGGTACAGATGATTGTAAGGGTTTGCTCATAGTTACACCCATTTGAGCTGCTTTTTGCAGGAGTGCAGTTGCAGACATGTGTGGAGAAGCTGGTTGAGCCCGGAATGGAGGGAGTGAGATAGAAGAACTAGGGTTTTGGCTAGGGTTTTCGTTCTGTGGCAATGTGTGGCCTAAAAGAAATGGTGATGATGAAAGGTTTGTCGAGTGGGGACCAGTCCCAGCTCCTACTCTTGCATTGAAAAGATGATCTTGCTCCCTTCTCACATGGAAGGGATAGCTATGGAGTTGAGGTTGGGGTTGCAGATTGGTCACATTTATATGTGAAACTGAAGAGCCAGGCTGCTGTGAGAGGACAAGTACTGTGTTTGCACCTGCAATTACCCTTGCACTCTCCTCAGCTAAAGCATCGCAAAACGCTCTGTGGGTGATGAAACTGTCCCTCCTGTATCCACAAATACAAGCACAACAAACCAAAAAGAGCAATCAAGAAATGAATCTGATACATATAGCTAGTGGCTCAGTTAATTAAGTTATAGTTATTGTAGACCTGGAGAAAAGGGTTCCACAGTCACATCTATACTCCCTGGTGCCACAAATTTTGGAATGAGCTTTCCAGTCTGATTGAACAGCGTATCGCTTTGAACACTTTTCACATTTCCATTTCTTCTCGCCATGTTTTCTGTAAAAGTGCTTCTTGATCCCCGTGAGGTCCCCAAGAGCCCTAGATGGGTCATGGTGCACACAGTTTGTTTCTGGACACACGTATACCTTCTTCCTCACCACCTCCTTGTTGGTTCTTTGCTTTAGTTTCCATGGCAAGTTATGTCCTCTCCTATGAAGCTGAAGATTCTGGTCTCTCTGAAACCCTTTGTTACATATCTCACACATAAACCTGTTTGTTGCAAGCAGTGACTTGGGAGACAAAGCTATCACTTCAGCATCTGGGTCTGATGACACAAATCCATTAAAAAAAAGGGGGGGGGACTAAAAGAAAGTAGTAAATCTGCTGAATTTATTTTGAAAATTTTAATCAACCTGGGTTGCCTGCAAGATTCCTCTTCTTCTTTGGTAACGGTTCTGGATTTGTTGAAACAAAAGACTGTCGTGGGCACAGTGTACCTGAAGAAGCACTTACATCCATCACAAAATCTTTCACCTCTCCCCTTATATATAGCTCTTCACATGTATATCAACTTCATAATACATGACAAAATGTCCTGAGATCTATATGTTTTTAACCCTATTTTGCTTAAACTTGAATTGAACATGAATGAAAATGACAGAGAGTATAAAGAAAGAGCGACAGGTTCCAAAATGGATTAGCTATCAGAACCTTAAAATGAACTAATATAGCTACTCTCCAAATTCAAGTTACAAAAAAACTAATATCTTTGCTTGCTGTTGATGCTAACACAGAGAAGATCAGTAAACAAACGCCACACAAAAACCTACAAACTGAATAAAGAAATAGAAAAAAAACGTGAGATAGAGAGAGATGTGGGAGAGAAAAAGATTCCTGAGAAGCACTCCACTCATCCAAAACCAGAACCCAAAGCCAGCAGGCTTTGTCACTGAAAGTTACACTTTCTGTCTTTTGTTTTGTTTTCACCTGTCTTATAAACCTGTTATTTACTTTTATATATATATATATATTATTGCCTTTTCACATTAAAAAGTTGACATAAAGTAAACCTAAATGGAAAAAAAAGAGACAGATGATGGATATAAGCAAAGTTGATTACAGGCTTTTTACCATGAAAATGGGCTAAAACAAGTTAGAAAGCAAAACCACTTTTCCCCATGAAAAACTTGCATAAACATGATTGTCTCAGTGATTGAATTACATTTCCGGCAGATATGTATATGCAGCACAACCAATAATCACTTAAATTATTGCTGGTGTGAGAGACAGATAACTGGCTGCAACTTGGCCATAAAACAACATGAAGAGGATAAAGAGTCATCTTCAGGGACTGAAAAAATGTAAGAAATGTCCAAGTTCTTAACGATTAACAAACAGTTTTTTTTCATATATCAATCAAACTTCATTTCACCAAAAAGAAAAGTTACTGCATCAAATCATTGGTGATAAATAATCCGTAACTATACTCTAACAAAGCTGGATGAAGCAATCTTGTTACAGATCAACGGCGACAACCGTTGACATCTACCGGCACAGCGCATCACAACTAATAGAGAAATCAAAGTCTTGAAATGTCGAGCATCAATCAGCAACTCGGGGTATCCTTTGTTGGTGCATTAAATCTCGACAGTAGAGGTGTTTCATATAGTTTTTATATTTCATTATATTACTAAATTGATATAAAAATTAATAGGATAATATATTATTAATTATTATGTAATTATAACAGTAATATTAATCAAAATTAATTTAATAGAATAAAATCATCTCAATATTAAAATAAATTTTATTTTCGTACTAATTACATTTATTATTTTAGTTTGAATATCACTTAACTAAAAACATAATTTTACATCATTTGCTTTGGATTGATAATCGATGGTTGACATTTGTTTTCTTTTTCTTTCTTTCCATCCCAATAATCTAAATATGTTATTTTATTGTTTAATTATTTTTTTTTCATTTTCATTTGAAAAAATAATGATGTTTGTCTATATTTATATTGCGTTCTTTATCTATTTGTATAACGTGTATTTTATTTTCTCTCAATTGGATTTAACATCATCTCTCTAAATTTGGATGGTGTTTATTTAATTATCATGTTAGCACATCTCTACTATAGACCCACGAACTTGATATTAATATGTGCTCACAATCATTGAATTTAGTCGCAATAAAATTGTGTTGATACTGGTTTATCAACGATGGTTTATTGAATTACAATTTTATTATAAATTAAGCTATTGAAAAATGTAAAAAAATAATATATATTAATGTAAAATATTTTTATCACGTAAAATAAATATATAATGAATTGGTTAAAAATAATTAAACGCTTAAACATACATATATAAGGCACGTGAAGAAAGAAAATGATATATCTCAACAATATTAGTAGTAATTAACAAATGTTAACAGATTGATTAATGACGCCAGAAATTAGTTGCTTGAGACGTGATGATCATGGAAGCACCCACCCAATCATGTCGACCCACCCACCCAATAATATTGATATAATATATATATATATATTAATGCATATTAGAAAACAGAAAATAATGTGACATGTTTTGGAGATACATTGTCTACATATATGTTCTGTTCATGTTTCTCCACAGTGGCATTTTGTCTTCACACTAAAAGAAAAGAAACTGGGTCCATGCATAAAGTTGTGCTTAATCTGATTTCATTTGTCATTTTCAGCTTTTGCATCGTCTATTTATTAATTTGAATTTGTTTACTTGCTTCCGCCTCATTAACAAGTTTAAAAGCATGCTTTATCAAATTGTAACTTGTTTCTTTTCATTGACCTATATGGAGTCGTGAATCAAGACTTGCGCAGGCAGAAGAAAGTAATGTTACGTGAAATAAAGAAGAATAAACCAGAGTCAATCTCTAGTGCCATCATTCACGTATATGGTGTACAGTCACAGTGAAGAGTAAGGCTGTGTTGTTTGTCACATTTTCAAGACCAGGAACAAAAATTCCCATAAGAAATACGGCCATTCTCTTTATAAATTTCCTCCTACTTAATCAGTAAGGTCTGGTGCACTGCTTTTGATGGAGGCTGTTTGCAATAATGCAAGGGAATATTGACAGAAATTGACCTATGAGGATACGGAAATCTTTTAAAATGGGGTATTGCATGGTTATGGATAGGGTTCAAATCAATCAAGAGCCTGAAGAAAAAAAGCAGTCTCAGGGGTTTAAGTAGCTTGCATAGAACTGTAGATAGTGTTCTTAGCTCCACAAACCCTGAAATCAATCTCATGGGGGGTTCTACTGAGGCTAATCTTATAAGGGGTCAGAAAATGGAAATGACTATCTGAAAGACAAGATAATTGAATCATGTTATCTTATCTGATATAAACACTACCGACAAAACTTGGCTGGGATCCTATGCCAATGTTTGTGAGCTGCAACAACAAGCTGTAGTAGGTAGGTTCGGATAGTGGACCAAGTTAACCACGTGGTTGAAGCCCCACTTGGCTCGAGTCTCATATGACTCATTGCTTGTTTGAATATCATGAATTCGAGGAAATAATGAGTTGAGGTTATAAAAGATATGCGATGGAAACCGAGAAATGAAATGATGAAAGTAATGCAATAAACCATTCATGTTTTTCACGTACGATAGACTTGGAGGACTTGTCGGGAAAACTTATTGGCATTGGAAATGATTACTCCCCATTTGCTTTATCGTTTTGGTGACAGTCGGAGCAACTTTCTTCAGCCATGCTCGCTCGTATGGATTAGAGCTTTCGGTAGGTTATAGCTTAAGCACAATAAAAAGACTAGCAGAAGAATTCAAGCTTACGATAATAAATATTACATCGTAGATCACGGCAATTACTAAAATTTCGCTCTGATCAAACTATATATTGAGAAACAAACCCCGTATGCCAAATTTCGTTCCTTTCTCTTTTGATATAAGAGGAAACAACACCCGCAAAGGTAAATCGAAAGCAGCCCTCCGAATATAGCTAGCCATGATAAAAGAAAAAGCATAAAGAACTCTGCTGGTATTGGAAAAAAAAAAACAGATCAAGTTATGAGCAAAGAAGAAAATGACAAATTAGAAAACTGGGGATGGTTAAATCATCTTCAGGGTCGTACAAATAGCGGCGAACTTCCACCGCGATCTGATGGCAAATTGGCGTTCGTAGCTGGTCGGAGAAGGAATTGCAAAGGGATGCTTGATTGTATCTTCCGGACGGTTAGAGAAGAAGACACTCTTTGTTTATGGAGAGGCAATGGGAGAAGTGTTCTCTGGTATTACCCTTCTGTTGCTCTTAATTTCTCCCTCGAGGTAATAAATATGCTATTTTCCCTTTTTTTACTTCCCCTCTAGGTTTTTGGTTTAAAAATCGATTTTTTTTTTCTTTCTTTTAATTTTTAGAATGAATGAATGGGTTTCCATGGTCGTTTTAGTTTTGCAAGATGTTATTTTGGAGATGGATTGTAAAAGTTCGGTGTTTTTAAGGAAGACAATGTATGTACGTGATGTGAATGATAGAATGCTATTTGTAGAGAACGTATGGAATGAATAACGATGATGTTATTTCTTATAGCTCGGGAGATACCATTTTCTGCACTTTATGTGATTTGCAGTGTTTATATGTAATCAATGTGGTCATACTACATAGAATGTTTCTACTGCAAGTTGTAACTGTAATTTCTTCAGTGCTTTGCTATTAGTGCAATTACTGCTATAATTTATCAGTCAATCTTTTTATGGATTGAATTGAGAACTTAAGGAGCCTATCACCTGTAATAATATCCAAATATCCAAGCTGAATGTCATTTAGACTATTCATTAGACAAGGGACCAGAATGCAATGTGCTGTGGTATTTTTGTTTTACCTGTTTCATTGTTTTTGTAACATATCATTTAGGTTAACTACTTTATCAAGTCTCTGGAGACTATGTGAAACATGCTAGTCTATAACACCCAAACTTCTTTTATCAGCAAGTCCAATCTTAGTAGTCGTTTTACTCCCATGGAGGACCTTTGATTGTGTTGTCCTATTACTTGACCCTATCTGAACGGCCATTGGTGCTTTTTGCTATTGTTCAGATGATCAACAACTTTCTTGAGGATGAAGCTTTTTTTTTTTTTTTTGTGGCATGCGATGATGTTTGGCCTTTAATCGACAATAATATAGTTGGAAAGCAAACCTGTTAGAGGCTCCGGTTGGAATAGAGAATCAGATATAGAAGAAATACTGTTAGGTGAATTTTATCTTGGTTTAATTGTCTTGGAGAATGTGACAATTGATAGAGAGGTCACTCATTGGATCCAGGTAGGATGAATGCAACAGGGAAATTCATACCAAAATTTTATCTGATTATAGAATTCTGATAAATTTAAAGGAAATCGTTGTGATACAGCAGTCAACCTAGCAGTGTTGTGTTAGATTCAGCAGAACCATTTGAAATTTCTAGCTCCCTTTTGTGTATTGTAAATCTCTGGAATTTGGCAGAAAATGGATGGAATATTATTTCGATGGTTCTGCAGAGTATAAGGAAAAATGAAAGATCATGTTAGATATAGTACGCTTTTTATAGCTGGTAGAGGCTATAGAGGATTTCTCTTAAGGTCCATGGCTGATGAACAGGGCATTAACCAGCAAGTTTGTTGCAGAATATCAGGCTATCAGCTGCGGTTAATATGTCGTGATTGAATGTTTTGGCTCTCATACTATACAGTAGCATATAATAGCAGCTTGTGACTGAGTTCATAATGTAGTCTGAAGAGATAAAACCTTTTTAACTTTAAAATCGTCATTTTTTCATAATATTCCTCTATGTCCATGTACTTGCACAGTTTGCCTCTTCCTTTTTCCTTCGTTTTTGTTAAATTCCTTTCTAAGCTGTATTAACCAAACCCGATATCGAATATAATCATGATGTTGGAATAATAGGGGCAGAAAATATCAGAGAATCATTAAATGTATGGCCCTAACTGGTGAGTGACAACTTTTAAGAAATAACTAAGTGTTACTCTGCGGAAGAGCATTAGGAATAGATTAGATGATTATTTGCTCAACACATTGCCGATTCACCGTTGGTAAGATGTTCATATAATCATTGGACAAATGCCATCGACACAAGTTTCTCACTGCACACTTGAATTGATACGAAGATTAATTTATCGTAATTACTCTGCTTCTCTTTATGCAGGATCTGTACAGGAACATATTAAGAAATGTCTGTTTTCAAAATGGTCATGTATTCTGTGGAGCATCTGCCAACTGCAGTTGGTTGCACAACATTGATCTTAATCTACAAACATATTAATAAACTACCTTCTTGACATTGCTCACACAGGCCTTGCTGCAGACAATGGAAGAACACATGTTGGGCAATTCCAAGGTATTTACCATTTCTTGAGTACGGTACGTAAAAAGGATGGAATTCGGGAATTTACAGTGGTCTTCCTGCCTCTCTACATGGGATGATTGTTCTTCGGGCTTTATATTTTGGAGGTTATGATATAATGAAGGAAATTTTGTCCGAGAAATCCGAAAGCAAATAAGTCAAAAGATTAGTACTTCAACAGTAAAATAATTCAGTAGTGTTTCTCTGTCTCTCTCCTTTTGCTTCCCAAAGTGATGTAAGCTTGACTCTTATGCATATAGCTTTTGGTCAAAGTATGATCTGGGGGAGGTCTTAACTGGAGAGTATTGTGTGCCATGAACAATGGGTCTAATTTAAAACAAAGTATTGGGACAGGTTAGGTATTAGAAAAAAAAACACATGAATCCAAGTGGGAAACCCATTAAAGAAAGCCAAAGCAAAAGCATGACTTCATCCCCATGAAAGAAAAAGAAAACAAAAGAGGTGATGAACTCATAAAGTACTTAAAAGAATCTTCTTCCTTTCTCCCCCAACTTTTAGACCAAGTTTTTAACCTAAAACCCCTACCATTAAGGAACTTTCAGTGGGGCACTTGAGTTGCCCATCTCTCATTTCCTCCATTAAAATATATACCAAAAGGAAAAGAACAAAACCATTACTTTCTTTGTAGCTTTTCTTTTTCATCCCACAGAAAGAATCAGAAGGAGATCCTTCTTCTGTTAGGCTGTAAAGATTCAGGATGGGGTCCATGGGTGGGTAAATCAAACACACACTCCCATATTTGTAAATTTTAAGTGTTTAAAAATCATAATCCAAAATTAACATTACCACCGACTCTTTGTGATTTGTTGGGTGGTGCTGTCTTTTCCAAACCCAAAGGAAAACTATTTCACCTCATTTGACTTGAAGTGGATGTTTTAGTCTTTAATTCATATTAACACTAGTGATTGAAAGTTAAGGGTAAATAATTTATGTAGTCATCAATATATTATTTAATTTTTATTTTATCATCCAAAAATTATTTTTTTCAAAATCAAACCTACCTGTTGTTAAAAAAATTAACGGTGATGCTTATATGATATTCTTTTATTAATATTAATTTCAATATTGATGTGACATTGTCTTATGGTAACACATCATCATCACCATTAATTTTTTAATGGTGGATGTTTAAAATAAAACTAAAACATATCGTTAAATATGATTTTAAAAAATAATAATTAAATGACCAAATCATAAACTAAGGTAGTAGTGTGTGATAGTTTACCTTAAATTCAAATATATATAATATTTGTAATGAAAGCCATGACATGTCTTGGAATATTGTCTGATAGCATGGTGACGACAACTTGGGGCCCCGTCTTTGCCTTGAAATATACTAAAAATCACAGCTTTTTCAGTTCATCACTGCACTTATACAATTTCCAGACAAGTAGCTTGAACCAAGTATGAAGAATTGTCGAAACAATTACAATGAAAAAGGTTGAACAACCAATTGTGGAATGAAATCTGTGGGCCAAAAAAGAGCCGTCTTAAGAATTCCCGGGATTTCTTTTTTCTTTTTCGTTATAATAATTGGGAGAATTTTGTCAGATGATGCGAGAATACCCTGCTCGTCTTTATCAGTGAAAAACGTCACCAACCAAAAATTAAACCCACATTAACCATTCTTTTTCATCAAGAACCAACCTTGCGCAAATTTCAACGGCTCTGATTGCTGAATGTGAGAAAGGCGCCATCGTTGGCAACAGATGAAGAATGGCCGGAGTGTGTGAAGGAGTCACTGTAGTTGTTTTAGACTTAGTTTTGTATATTAGAGAATAATAAGGAAAGAGACTACTGAAAATATTAATGAAAGTGGATGAATTAAAGGCACTTCAACCATTACAACTGGTGTGTGTGAAGGAGTCACTGTAGTTGTTTTAGACTTAGTTTTGTATATTAGAGAATAATAAGGAAAGAGAATATACTGAAAATATTAATGAAAGTGGATGAATTAAAGGCACTTCAACCATTACAACTGGTGATTATTCTATTTTAACGAACCGACCTCAAACAAACTCAGTTAATTTTAACGAACCCGACACCAACTAATCACGTTTTATTCTAACACAGATCAAACCACCCCGAGTTGCTGAATCCCCATATCTCTCCTTCCTCAAATTCATCAAAGAAAAATATAATTTTTCACACATACAATACAATTTCATTCACCTGATTTAATTACTACAATTCAGTTGTTTTCCTTTTCTTTTTTTTGGAATTCGACTGCCTAATTTTATGTTCATCAACTTACAGATAATTATGTCCAGATTTTTAAAAACATAAAAATGGCAGCTTAATTATAAGTTTCTTTTCTTAATGCTATTATGAATTTATGTGTATCATACCCAGAGAGCGCCAACTTCGACGAGCTTTGGGACGAGGTGCCCACTAAGGTGGAGGGCCACAAGGGATTCAAGTCCGCCGACGCTCGTTCCGCCAATGAACACGGTGGGAGAAGAATTCCGAGAGGAGAGGCTATCGAGAGCAGGCGGCGTAGGGAGGGAAGTGATCTCATGGTCATCGAGTTCGATGACAGTGGGATGAACCCCGATGGTGGCCAGGAGCTTTTTCATCACGTGACACATGCAACAAGAGGTTCGGCTGAAGATGATCACAGGGTTCTCCGATATCAACCTCTTGATTCGTGCCTCCGTTGACTCCTCCTCGTATATGGAAAAGCCGGCACAGCTTATGGCTGTGGTTGTGCTCATAGGGATGTTGTTTGGGGAGGAAGGCGGTTGAGGTAGTGGACTTAGATCAAGCTGCACAATATTACTGGACCAGCTCCTAAACCTTTGCATCGCCAAAACAAAAATCAAGGGTGTGATTATGGTAATGTCGACGGGGAAAAACAAGTGGTATGAGAATAATAAATACTATGATCAAAACGAGAAAGAGAAAGCACCTTTGCTTTGGGCTTGGGGTATCGTTGCTTACGTCATAAAGTACTATGTTACATAGGTTCTTTAAAATGAGGACGTAAGGGATTTCAGCATTCATGTAATCAATTCATTTGAATATCAAAACTTATTACCTGATATAATAATAATTTCAAAGTTTATATATTTTTATTAAATTATATTTAATTTAAATAATTTAAAAATTATTCCTCGTTTTGATTCGAAATAATTATTAATGTTAAACTAAATTATTAATAAATTATCAGAATAAAAACTATTATTTGCATATATGAATTATATAATGACATATTTTACAATTAATTAATAATTTAATTAATGATTTATTAATAATTAATAAATTACTATTTAATAATTAAATTATTAAAGTAAAAAACTATCTAAATCATCATTCATCGTATAAAATCAGTTCATATGAATATATCAATAAAGAAGAAGAAGAAAAAGAAGGAAGAAAGTATCTTTAGCACTTTACGAAAAGATAACGTTTTTTTGTTAATGTCATATTCAGTCTGTACAGTAAATATAATGTTTGATATAAATTAAATAATTTAATATAATATTTTAATAATTATTTGAAATTAAAATAAAGATTAAATTGATAAGATTTTTATTATTACAATTTTATTGAATTATTTTAAATTAATATCAATTTGATAAAAATACTTAGTATATATTATATCATATATTATTTTCATCAAATTAACAGTTAAACTTAACGATAATAAAAATATAATATGATATTATATTATATACAATTTTACAAAAAATAATAGTTACTAATAAAAATAAAAATAAAAGAATAAATAAAATATCAAATAATTAATTTACCCTAAAAATTATAAAATTAATATATTAATAAAAGTTTGAAGTAACTTTATATGTGTTTTGTTTGATGAGAGTCGTGTGCATGTGGGCACGTATGATAGAAAGGGTGAAGTTCATATACACGAGCAAGCAAGCATATGTTATAGAAACCATCTTTTTCGATTATTTTTCTTAATGTTGTTGATTTATAACCATGCCACTCCCATTTTTTATTATAATATATATTATAGGTGCAAATAGATTGAGTTTTTGAATAATTATTTGTAAATTAATCGTATAATATTCGTTTATTAAAATAAATAAATAAATAAAAATAAAATTTTTATATTTATTTAATAAATTAATGAATGCGAATAAAAATAGGTTTAGTTCGTTTATGTTTAAAAAAATTCATTTATCAGCTCACTTATTAGTCAATTTATCGCTTCACATTTCTCTTTTAATTTTTTCATTTTTAATATTGGTAAAGGTTAAGGAATGACTAGTGATGTCATTTTTGAACATTTGAATGAACATATTAATGATCGTTAATTGTATATGTTCAGAGGCAAAACACAAAAAGGAAATGTCGCCCCAAAAAAATTGAAAAATTATAATTTAGACCTTTTGAAATTTTCATAAAATTTAATTTGATCTCCCACAAAATTTTAAAAAATTCAGATTAAGCTTTAATTTTTTAATGTTCTTAATTAAATCCCTCTCATAAGTTTTAAAAAATCTTATTAAGTCTCTCAAAATTTTAAATTTTTTTAGTCAGACCTCATTTTCATGAAAAATATAAATTGAATGTTTCAAAATTTTAAATTTAAACCTCTATTAAAAAAATTAAGTTGCCCTCAAACTCTATCACAAGTTCCAACATCAAATATGTCCATTTAATTTCGATTGTTTGTTTGATTGTTTAGAACATATAAATGAACATGTTAGTGAACGCTAAACAAACCGAGCACGAATACTTTTAAGATTAAAATAAAAAAATAATATTAAAAATTTAAACAAATATGAATCAAATCATGAATATTTGAAAATAAACAAATGATTCGATGAGATGAAGAAATTAAGAGGTAGAAGAAATAATAAAAGGATTGGAAGGCTGGATTACACGTGCCGAGGCAAACGAGTGAGGGGGCAACACGTCGTGCGGCAGAATTATACGGTAGTTCGGAAATACTGATTTTTGCCGGAAAAGGTTTTTTTTAATAGGAAAAAAAGCAGATAATTCATTCAACGGTGCCAGATGCATGAAGAACAACAAAATTTGCAATACAGCTGGGATAGTCGTTTGCAAGCCAAACTGGGTCCCTATTACAACATGCAAATCCAGCAAGCTCGTGAGCCACTCTATTCGCTCTACGAGGGACGTAGCTCAGAGAGTAAAGAGGTTCTTCTTTCAACAGTTCCCTTGCCCTTGCCCGAGCAGTTACACGCGATGATTAGTAATCGTAGTTACTGACCCCATTAAGTTGCCTTCACTGCCACGTGGAACCCATAGATCGAACCTTGAGTTAGCCCATAGCCCTTACCTTCTCTCGGCTTTCTCAGGGAAAAAAAAGTTTCTTTTAGAGACGTCAGAAAATTATTTAGAAAAACAGGTAAAACAAATTACACCGAAAGTATTGGTATTGAAATCAATCGAAGTCGCCGAATGATGATAAAAAAATTAAAAGTTTTTTTAAATTATAATTGTTGTTGACATTTGTCGAGAGTTTTATCTAAATTAATGGTTGCGGCAGTTTTATCAAAATTATTATTGATAATTTTATATGAAGGACCGGACTGATTACAAACTGAAACAAAAAGAAAATCGGCACATAAGTGGAAACAATGACCAATTTGAATGCATAATAAATTTGAAAATATAAAGTGAAAATTCCCCTTTTTAGTCTGTATCAGATTGGTCCGTTTAGTTTAATAAATTAAGGGTGATTTTGGTTCACGGAATGTAAAATTACCAATGAAAATATAAGATTATCAGGGAATAGGATTATTGAAAATATTGTATTTTGTGTTTGGTTGGTTTAGCAGGAATGTAAGATTACTGTGTTTGGTTAAAGGAATAAAAGATTATTGGAATGTATATTTGACCAAATTGTCTTTATTATATATTTGTTTTTTTAACAAGTTAAAAAATATTTATATATTTTCTTTAAAAATTTAAATTCATAAAAATTTTATATTTTTTTTGCAAAATTAAAAATATAAAAGGTTTAATGAAAGGGTAAAATTTTATTTTAATCTTGAACTTCATATAAATTTTAATTATAGATTTTTTTGTAAATCTAAAATAGTTTAAGGATTAATTTGTAATTTTTGGAATGTATATTTGACCAAATTGTCTTTATATATTTGTTTTTTTAACAAGTTTAAAAATATTTATATTTTCTTTAAAAAATTTAAATTCATAAAAATTTTATATATTTTTTTTGCAAAATTAAAAATATAAAAAGGTTTAATGAAGGGTAAATTTTATTTTAATCTTGAACTCATATAAATTTTAATTATAGATTTTTTTGTAAATCTAAAATAGTTTAAGGATTAATTTGTAATTTAACATTCGTATAATTTTTATTATTCAATGACAAAAGAATGATATATTTGAAGAAGAAAAAATTAAGAGTATTTTAGTCCAAAACGCCGGCAATCCAACAATACATAAGGAAAGGGAGGTAATGACATTTCCGATAATATACTTCAAAAAATCTACTATTATTAATAAAACATTACCGGGAATGAGATTTCCGACTAATCAAATATGAGGATGTGGATTCCATTCCCGTGTGAATCCCACATTCCTTTATACAAACAGCCCCTAAAAAATTTTAGATTCAAAGTCAACCTCCTATTTTATACGCAACAAAGTGACATGACCAAACTCATATTCAACTTAAGATAACTTTGCATAGTATTATTTAATTTGATTTTGTTTTTTTCAACTAAAATTTTAAAAAAATTATTTTTTCTTTTTTATTTCCATAAATAAGTCCTTCTCTCGGTCCTCTGTCTAAATATAAAATTTATTGATTACCTATAAGATTATTAAAAATATTACTGCTGCAACTGCTAAAATAAAAGATAATCCCACGCAAAAGGCAACGAAGGCAAAGAAAGGAGAGCTGACATGGAGGGAACACTGACCGGGGCCGGTGATCCCACTGGCATGACATAAACATCGGAAAATAAATTACACTGCCACGTCATCATGAAGTTCACCGGCATGACTGGAGGTTGTCGTGCTTCACCTTCCTTCAGCGAGGAGGATTTGTGGCTTCGCGGGAAGGAAAAAGACAAAACGTGGGGCCCCAGACTTTTTGGAATCGACGTGGAATACCAACATGCTTCAATAGTGAAAAGGGACTGAGGGCCAACATTATGAATAGGGGCTGTAAAACTGTAAAAGGGAGGAGTCCTACCAATTAAAGGTGTACCGTCGATGGTGGTCGAAAAATAAAATGATGTGCTGTCTGCCACATGTGTGATGTGAGACAAGCTAAAGATAATGACGTCATCATCAGCATTACCTTTGAACTTGAAGCCCCACTTAAACTCCCCTTCTTTTTTTCAATTATTTTCACCTCACCACCTCAATTATTATTTTTTTTATTATTATTTGTACCAATTTATGTAAAAGTTATTAAGGAATTTGTAACAAAGTTGAAAATGTAAAAAACCTTTGAATATTTTATTTGAAATAAGGGTAAACTACATCAGATATCACTAAACTTTGTCTGTTGGCTTGTTTGTACAACTAAACTTTTAATTTTATCAATCATAGCATTGAATTTTAGTTTCACCTTCAATTTTGTTGCGAAAATTATCAGTGACAAGTGGCGATCGACTGTTGACGGTAATTGAAAAATACAGTGGTAAAAAAAAATTTAAAAGTTCAGTGCAAAATTGATATACCTCAAAAAATTAGTGTCTAATAAAAGTCATTCAAAGTATCAGAATAGCCGCACCAAAATGACGTCGATCTCGTTTGACATACCATATCAGGGACCATTAGTAATGTCATCTTCCTGTTAGTGACATAATGATAAAATGACATAATTGAATAAAAAGTTAAAATTTTATGATATAATTGATAAAATTTAA